GCAGAATTATTTGCCCCTTTGAAACTTAGAAATTTTGGTTAAAGGTTAACGGTCTTCAAAGATATTTACTTGAAACTTTACACATGCACTTAGGGTCATAATTGGAGGGTCATAATTGTATGTCACTGACCAAGTTCCATAAACTCTATCTTGCATTAAGGCTGATTCATATCCCCTTTTCTACTTAGTCTCTTGGTTAATGTTTACATGCAAGTTTTACATATCTCAATAACTATTAAAGATATTTATCTAAAACTTATGCAACTAACACATATGCATTTAGGGTCATAATTGTAGGTCACTGACAAATATCCATAATTCAATCTTGCATTTAGGCTGACTTTTCTCCCCTTTTTCAACTTAGAAATTCATGGTAAAGTTTTGCTTGTAAGCTGTTATTTCAATAACTACTGAAGGGTTTGTGCCATTTTTGGGACAATTTTATGCATTCATAATAATAAAGCAGTGATTTACTTGATAAAACATCTTAATAATAATAACAAGCCTTTGTACCTTTTCTGTCAAATTTATGTATTCATAGGTAATTAGTATTATTTACTCAATAAAAAAAAACTTGTGACATTACCTTCCGAATTGTCAAGCCAATTCTGTATAATTAGACTCTCTGTAAGCCTATAACATGAATTTATAAAAAAAAATTAGCCCTTTTGTGAACTTAAAAAATTTAACAATATCAAGGCTCTTTTACTATCAAGCACTTAGAATAGTCGAGCATGCTGTCCTACAGACAGCTCTTGTTTTAAGGTGTACTTCATATTTAAATTATAGTTATTAAATTCCCTTTTTTACGATTGAAATAAAATTCTTTATACTAATTTTTTTTTCCATTTTACAATGATCATATGCTAGTGCTTATCTATTTGTTTTTTTTTCTTTTCTATTTTAAAATTGTAGTATGTTTAATGCAGGGTTTTTATTCTTGATTCTAAAATGTACTGTGATACTATATTGTTGTGTACTTTAGCGTGCTGCCATTTTTTGTTTTGCATTTTGTACCATGGTATTTTTTGTTTGAAATTTAGAAACATGTATATAATTTTATCCACTCTTCCCTTCTAAAAGCAGAGCTTTTTCAATTGTTGATCTACATATACAGGGTTGTCATTATTATCGGAGGCAATAGATGTGCCAATGAAAACAACCAATTTGGCCAAGGGTCAAGATAGATATTTTAATCAACAGGCTGAAAATACAACCGATTTTAATAGCATTTCAAATAATGATATTCAACACCAATCTGTTAATTTTAACATCCTGCATAAATTCTTGAATCAAAATGAAAAAAAAAAGATCATATTTTTCTATTTTGAAGTGTATTTGCAATCAAAGCAAGAAGTTAGGTTTTATAATTTTGTTTATGGACCATGTTTCTAGACTTCAGCTATTAGATATTAAATTAAATTGTTACCAGACCTAGTTTACACTTTGCTGAGATTTTTTCTAGTGCTGTTGCTGTATGTAAAATTTTCAAATGCAGAGTTGCACCTAAATGTGTTTTAATGAAAGTAGTGAACATTGTTTTCCAGGACTCTGTTTCCTAAAGTTTTTACATTTTAATTAAAAGGATATTTTATGAATATTGGAGACCTTATACTCAAATAGGCCTGATAATATAATGTAGATATCATTTTGTTAAGTAACTTGGTATTTGTTGTGTTATATTTAAGATGTGATATTTTACTATGACAATTTAATAAACTTGTTTTAATCATTTTTTAAACCCTGTTGAAATATTATAATGTTTTTTAAACAAAATAGTTTCTCTGTTCAAAGATATATTTTAAAAGGTGAATAAAAATGAATGCCAATCACTGTTTTCTTTATTATACCACCTCAGTATTGACATAAGTCATTTTTAGCTTGACTATTAGATAAGAATAAGTAGAGCTATCCTAGTCACCCGAGCGTCAGCGTAACCACTCAAGTTTTTGTAACACCTCAAATCTTTTCAAAGTCCATTGACATATGGCATTGAAACTTTGCACAGTTATTTAACATCATGACCCCAACCTGTAGTCAGGAGGAGGTAACTCTATCAAGCATTTTGACATACTTTTACCCCTTTTTCTACTTAGAATTTAGAGAAAGCATCAGGTATGCTGGTTTGATCCCAGGGCGCAGCAATATTTCTTCCTGACAAATATTCATTTGTCTCTCCCCCAAGAATTACTAATCATGTGCTATAGTCACTTGCCCAGAAATCAGAAATTACTGGTTAATTATCCAGGAAAGCCAAAATTGAAAGTATAATTTTATGTACACATGTACATAATAACTAAGTACTTGTGTACATAATATCACAGTTTTTCTCTCACAAACTTGCCAAACAACACCTTAAGTTTTAAGGTTACTATTTTTTAGCAACCTTAGGTGAGAATTTAAGAGAAAATTGCAAAACCTGATTACTATTATAGTAAACTCATGACTGTTTTCAAATGGTATGTGTTCTGAATTTTCAGAGTCGATGTGTAATGAAACAAGAGCCATGTCAACATGGCCACCACCTGCCGAATGTGTTTGCTCATTGGCAGAATGTATATGTAGTAGAGCGGAATAATTCCATTTTAAGAGGTCTTTTGGTTATGAAAACTGATGGCTATAGTGATTACAGATTTGAAACCTATGTGAATACTGATGGCTGAAAATAACAAAGGGCAATTACTGAAAAATAATGCAGGGTAGGTTATCATTCTTGTGTGCTGCATCCCTCCTCAGTAAAATCTATCCACCTATGAAGTTTCAAGTTGATACCTCAAATACTTTTTGAGAAAAAAATTGAATTGAAAAATTAAGTATGAAAAAAGAACAAAGGGCAATAACTCAAAAATTATGAAAGGTAGAGTTATCATTCTTGTGCACTGCACACCTCCTGAGTGAGATCTATGCACCAATGAAGTTTCATGTTAATATCTCATAGGCTTTTGGAGTTATGCTCTGGACAAAAATCAATTTTGAAAAATAAAGGGCAATAACTCAAAAATAATGCAGGGTAGAGTTATCATTCTTAAGCACTGCACTCCTCCTCAATGAGATCCATCAACCTTTGAAGTTTCAAGTTGATACCTCAAATACTTTTTGAGATAAGCTCTGGACAAAATAGCATGAAAAAAAACAAAGGGCAATAACTCAAAAATTGTATAGGGAAGAGTTATCATTCTTGCGCACAACATTCCTCCTCAATAAGATCTATCCACCTATGACATTTCATGTTGATATCTCAAACACTTTTTGAGTTACGCTCCACTCAGGTGAAAAATTAGGTATGAAAAATAACAAAGGGCAATAACTCAAAAATTATAAAAGGTAGAGTTATCATTCTTGTGCAGTGCACACCTCCTGAGTGAGATCTATGCACCTATGAAGTTTCATTTTGATATCTCAAATACTTTTTGAGAAAAAAATTGAATTGAAAAATTAAGTATGAAAAAGAACAAAGGGCAATAACTCAAAAATTATAAAAGGTAGAGTTATCATTCTTGTGCAGTGCACACCTCCTGAGTGAGATCTATGCACCTATGAAGTTTCATGTTAATATCTCATAGGCTTTTGGAGTTATGCTCTGGACAAAAATCAATTTTGAAAAATAACAAAGGGCAATAACTCAAAAATCATGCAAGGTAGAGTTATCATTCTTGTGCACTGCACTCCTCCTCAATGAGGTCTATCCACCTATGAAGTTTCAAGTTGATACCTCAAATACTTTTAGAGATATGCTCCGGACAAAAATGTCGGACGGAAGGACGGATGGACGGAGACTATTTCTATATCCTCCGCCGAAAATTTTCGGCGGGGGATAATAAAAGGGCATCTGTATTGGTTATAAAATATTTTCTATGCACACAAAGCCAGTGGTACTTGGCCGCTTCTTGGAAGTTACAGAAATGATCAGAATAATGTATATTCAGGCAAATTACTACATACAATTTGTACAGTTATGGCCCTTACGAGTGTTCAAGAGACCACAATACTTTAGTATGAGGCAGGTGTTACATAATAAAAACCTTCTTGTAAAACCGATTCTGCTATTTTCTCTCAATTTTCTGAGAAGATGGATCTCATCATTTATGCACAAGGCTTCAATGAGAATATGTACAAGTAATAAGAGGGTACTTTTTTTTCTCAAACATTTTATTGGCGAAGGGTGCAATATACTAGAATAAAACAAAAATCACACGAATCAAAAGTCTAAATGAAACAATAAATAACTTATCATTATCAATGAGAACATCAATAACATATTATATCAAAACATTAGCAATTCTTAGACTTCTTATCAAAAAAATGTACATTGATATATAAAGATTATCACAGTCTCGGGGAAGTCACAGAAACGAATCCATTTGTAAGGGCAACGACACAAATACATGTATATTAAATCCTAATATAATCATCATATCCCAGATTTCATGGTCTAACAAGCTGTTTACAGTTTTAAATGACCATTGGTGAATTAAAAGTCTATACAGCCGTGCAATTTAATCATGTATAATAACTTAAACAGAAAAATATGAAGGAAAATCAGATGGGATTTAACCATTTGAAGATACAGTTTCAACAATAAAAGTTATGATAACAACACCAGATTGAGAATATCTGTTTCTAAACAGAAATAAGCCAATTCAACTTCATCGACTTCAAATCTTCACCTAAACATCAATTAAACAAATGCTGAAGGTTAAGAAATAAGTGCCCTAAATTGATGAAAATGTATACAATCTAAGCAAATCAAGAAAAATGGTCATATTTCTTTTGCCAAAATAAAAACAAAAAACAACACTTGATTTGAAAAATGAATATTTCAGTCTGACTGTTACATTGTCAATAACATGAGATCTGAATATTCCAAAGTATTTTTCATTTGCTGCAACACATTATAAATATAAAGAAATAAATATGGAAAAAAAAGCCTAGCAATTAAAAATATTATTTAAAAATAAACATTCCATATACTTGTATACTTTAAATAAAGTCTTTATTATTATTATTATTATACTCAAACAACAAATACCACTAGTTCAAACATAATAGGCTATATATAAAGTTAAATTCCAATATTTTGCCTCCTGTGAAAAAGAATATAATAGCTAATGTTTTAATGGAGATTTTTTGAAATTTGATCAATCTTTACTTTGTATCTCAAATCTTGAATGTTCTTCAAATCAAAGCTGAAACTACAATTATAATAAAATCTCATCTACTCTGTGGATGGCACTATATAAACATTTACAAGACAGATTATCCTTCACTGTCGTATGAATAACGTTGTGTTGACCGGAATTTTTCCGGTCCTTCAATCTTCGTTATCCTCGTCTGAACCGAACAAATCTGTTGTGAACTCGTCTTCTGTTCTGTTAAGCATGTAATTATCCATGTCTATAGATTTACAGTGGTTGATGGCGTAACGTAATTTCTCCGCTAGAATCTCTATACTAGAGTAGTTAGGTAGTCGTAGTTGAAAGAAACATGTCTGTGACGTGGGTAGACTGTCTTCACCCTGTAATATAACAAAAATACATTGTGAATATTTATGTGTTTTTTTTATGAATATGGGATTTATTTTCATCGGATGAAATATGATCATTTTCATTCCACAAGATGAAAATAAATCCTTCATTTATAGAAAATACTTTTTCTGTTTATTATATACTTTTTTTACCTTTACTTCTGCTTTAATTTTGTATACTGGCTGATATATATAGAAAGTAGTCTGGCAAGACAACAGCGAAAATACAGAAAATATACACTGCAGTGAAAAATACATTTTTTTACAGTGAAAATATAGAAAATGAAAATATGCATTTTATGTCATCAACATTTCACAATATTCCATTTATAATATAATAAATAATTATATGTAAGAGGGTAAAATAATTTAAAAATGATACGAATACAAAAATGTCAGTTAAAGAAAAGAAAACCAGACTTGAATAATACTCACTCTGCCAGAACTTATGATCTGAAACCTCATTGGTATATCAGCTGGGTTAACTGGCAATCTTGTTCTCCCAGACACAAAACGTAGAAACTGTATTCTCTCCTCGTTACTAAATGACTCCAGCACTTTCCAAAACCAAATAACCATCTTGTTCTGTTCATCTATTCCCCTGTATCTGTATCATCAAATTGTATCATAAATAGAGGATATTGAATGAGTGTAAGTTCAATACTGAATTTATTGCACGAGTTGAATAAAATTATATTATGCGAGCCTCTGGCGAGCATAATATTATTTTATTCAACGAGTGCAATAAATTCAGTAATGAAGTTACACGAATTTAATATTCTATTTATCACATACCCAAAATAAAGACCGTTTAAGGTAAAATAAGAGTCATTTTTCATTGACGCTTCTATAGTATAACGCTAACATTTAGCGCGTCTTTACACTTTATGTTTGAATAACGCTAATGACGTCACGTCAAAATATATGCACGGCCGTGCAATACCATATTTACGAAGTTGCAAAATCGGCACGGGTGTGTGATAAAATGTGCATATTGTCATTGTATAGAAATATTTCATTTCATTTACATGTTATTTATGAAACTATAAAATTAAGTATCAGTTTTTCTGTAAAGTGACAGTTGCTAGATCAGTAGGGCGCGTGAGTCTCATTTACTTTCATTTTTGATTTTTAACTTCCAGGTACACGCTCAGTATCTTTTACAATGGTTTACTGTTATGTTTTGGCTGTACCCATCATACTGGTGGGCCACAGACTTGTAACTTGTTTACATTTCCTGTTTATCCAAAGGAAAATTTGTATCTCTTGCACTATTTCTTTGTTAAAATGAACAACAGGTGTAATATAAATACTGTAAAATCAAGATTTTGCAAGGGAATTAAGTTTGCTAATTAATCAAATTGAAGATTTTAGTGAAAATAAAGTTTTCCAAGTATTAAATAGAAATGAAAGGTTAAATGTGCGAATATCTAACCTCGCCAATCAGTGCAAAAATGTTTACCTCACAAATGAAATTCTGTTGTTGTTTTTTTGTATAAGAATGGCAAACAAATAGAGGCTAACATATACCAAGTTTATGCCTTAAATGCCTACAGCAAATAAATAAAACATAAGCAATACTGTCTAAGTCCTTTCAAGAGGGTTTACAGAAAACGATGATAGATATTGTAAAATATAGGAACACTTAATGTTTCTTACACAAAAAATACACAATTATGCAAGCTCCAAAATGTATTCTAACTGGAGTCAAGAAACAGAGAGTTCACAAACCTAACAACTTTCTGTAAGACATCTACTTGTATATGTTCCACACCACAGACAAGCTGTTCTAGTGATCTGGCTGTTAGTAGAGACAATAATGGTACAGGTATGATCCAGGACATACCCTCTCTTATCAGAGAAGCCTACAATAAAATGAGAACTGTTTTAACACAGTAATTCTAGCATACTTATATTAAAGTGGATTGTATGTGTTTTTAGCCATAGTAACTCAATTTTATTTAGTTAGTTTAATAATATTTTATTGCTTTTTCTTCTTTCTATACAAAAACTGATACAATGTCACATGCTTACATAAGACAAAACATTAAAGATAAATATACAGTTTTTACATGGATGCTGTAGTTGTTCATAAAAAGCAAAAGGGTCAGACCACAAGTTTAAACAACATTAGAGAGTTGGCCCTTCCTTTTATTAATAAAGAAATAAAGAATTTCAGCACAAATATTGCAAAAAAGAAACAAAAAATTCAAGCTTTGTGTTATTATTGGGGAGGATAGGAGGTCAAGACTGAACAATTTTACTCATAATAAGGAATTGAACTTACATTCCTTTTCCATACATGAAATACTGTCTATTGTTATACAATCTAATTCCAATAAATATATATAGTCATAATATATGTGCAATCAAATCTGTATCTGTAGTTCTACCACATGTTTTAGTCACTAATAACAGTTTAAGATTTATAAATAAGATTGATTTTTGTTTTCTATTACCTGGGCCTCCATTTCATGCAGTTTAAAGTTGATCACATTCTCCACATATTCCTGCCTGTTATGGAAGTTTAGGGGTATATTGCGGCCACCTGGAATAACTGGTACCATTCTACCATCCAGTGACTGACCCTCAAAACAATCCAAGGGAATAAACTGAAAATAGATTGTAAGATTTAACACTAAATATGTATCAATACTCTTAAGTTTCAAGATTTCATTTGTTGTTCAACTCTTATTGCTCTCTTATTCGAAAAAAGTAAACCAAAATTTTACATGGGTATTAACAAATCAAACAAACAAAGTGGACTTATTTTAAGACTTTTGAATTACAACTCAACAAAATAACAACACAAGAATGGCTTACCTCATGGAAATTTGTTTCATTTACACCTGAGTCTTGTATTTCAAGGATACCCTTCAAGCTCTGTATATACATGTAGTCAATCTGGAGATACATAAATATTTAAACTAAAAAAAAATCCATACATTTTTTAAACTATTAAGTTAAAGGAACACATTTAAATTTCATATCCATTGAACATGTTATTTAGTTGTTCATGCTGTTACAGTATGGTTACACATTTACTGTGGACATTATAATACTGTATTCCTGTTTATCAGTTATAAATATTTCAGAATTCTAGCCAGTTTCATTAGACAGAATCCATGTACAATAAAATCAATGTGAATTTAAGCCTATTTTACCTGCCAGTTTTAATGCCTCAAGTCATATACTAATGAGTGCCGCAACATTCCACTGTTTATTCATTATATGGATAGAAAGCCTGATAGACAAGGGCGAATCTATAAGGACCCACCTCCACCATCCCAATCCTAAGTGGTGGCATAAAATGTTTAAACATATTTATTCATTTCAGCTTGATAATTATGAAAGCTTTGAGCTTATTTTAACAACACTTTTCAGTCTGATTCCTTGAATTTACAAGTATTTGTGCTATATGATAACACATTGTTATGACCCCAGTTGGGACCTGAACATAGTTGTCCTTGGCAAGAAAGACGGACACCTTAACCACTAGGCTTCCTCATAATATTGAAATATAAAACAAAACACAGAGTAAACTAACCTCTTCTATATCTTCTACTTTGAGAGGTATACCAGCCAGTAGTTTCCATACACACGGGGCAAGGTGAAGATCGAGGGGCTTCTTTGTACGTATAGCCACCCCAAACAACACGCCCAGAAACTTAAACATTCCAATATACTCGTCAGATTTCAGGCTCGGGTTTAACACATATCTGAAATAGTTGTATGTTTTGTGTGTTAGTAAAAAATATAACTCTACATAAATGAAACTCTAAATTGCACATTTTTTGTACTCACATTTAATGATTTTTAAGAATTATAAGTAATTCAACCTCAAAAATGTCTTTATCTAATCAAAATTTGATATACAACTGTATTTTTTTCTTATGTTTTATTCTATTCATTTGATATAAAGTTAACATGTACACTATCATATAGTCCTACAAAGAAATACCTAAAACTATAAAACAACATATAAGTTGTAGAGGGATGCCAAAGAATTGGATCTTACCTGTCTTGATTACTGCCAGTATCAGTACTACTGTTTGGTGTAGGTAGTAACAGTGGTATTACACCTGCCTCTAACTCCTGTAACATAAAATAATATATGTACACAAATTGTACACAAATACATGCACATAAATTGTACACAAAGGTTAAACTTGTACTTGTTGGCGTACAATAGCTGAAATGGAGCATGCAGTGAATCCAATATACCAAAGAATTTACTGTAATTTGTGAGAGAAAAAAAAACAGTACATGTATATGTAACTTAATTTGAATCCAAATGATGTTACTCCTAAAGGCATCAACAGACGGTAGGATTTAGTTGTACAGCACTAATTTGAGATAAGATGTACAATTTTCAAAGCTATACAACACTTGCATTCAGACGGTAATTCTACACTGTAAGAATCGTCTGAGGTTTCCCCTAAAAAGATCCCTTTACATTGATCCTTTACATACTTTACTCACTAAATACTTTTTTTCGCCATGAGTAATGATTGAAACACCTCCAATTAAAAAAAAAAAAAAAAAAAAAAATATATATATATATATATATTTTATTATTTTTTTAATGTGAAGCCTGACCGAGACTCAAACCTTAGACCCTCGGAATACCGTACTGCGGATCTACTGACTAAGCTATCCGGCTGCCTACAAACTACCTCCCCTCCCCTAATTAGAGAACAGTTCAATACCGTGACATAATCATTTTCGGAATAATTTGGGATTCGAACATGATACAACTTTGGGTCTCCTGAAGAGTTTTTCAACATCATTTTTACCCCATCTTACTACTATGTTTACCTTTTAGCCCTAATTGTTCTGGAATTTCATTCATTACACCCATTATCAGGACATAATTTGGTTATCTGTTACTTGTCATTGTGGGAGGTCTGAAAAAATCCCTACGACAAGATTTTCAAAATAGAACATGTCCTATCCCTTACATCTAGACATAAGGTTTCCGAAATCAAGAAATAGTAGCCTTCACACATTAAGATTTGTCTATACATCTTAGTTTTAATTGGTGTTGTACTTCAAAATCCTACCGTCTGTTGAGGCCTTAAAACAATGAATTTAATAATATCAATTTGCAAATGGCATAAACAACTTATCAATTTTGTAAAAATGAATACTCACATTGAGTTTGAAGGGGATTTGTCAAAAACACTTTCATTTTACAAAATAGATTTAGACAATATGTAAACAATGAAGAAAAAAATATCTTCAGCACCAGCAATTTGTTATCCTAACCCCTACTCCAAGGAATAGCATAAACATGGACTCCAAAAGATTTTCTTGGGAATTCCCCACCTAGCTTGAATTGATGACTATACAATAAAATCCACACTTAATAAATTTATTTACTGCTCATTTAAGAATGAAACAAAAACACAGTACTCACTCGTCATTGCAAAACAAGTGGGAGAATCAATATATAACTCTATTTTCCTACATTTCTAATCTCATGCTACAGATGAATTGTGAAACTACTAGACAGCTTACCATACACATTTCTGTGATCGTGTCATCGAAAACTCCCCCAGCATCATCAGCCCCTTCCCCTAGCAATTTGACCTTCCAGGCTCGCGCTGGCAAGCGTAAATCTTCAGGTTTCAGTCTTATCACTTGACCAGAAATTTGACTGTACACAGGACGGCATTTTTTCCCCTGGGGTTTATAAAAATTTTAAGCAGAAAAAGACATTTAATCAAAAGTGAACAGCTGTAAAATTTAAAATAAATAAATCACTTGATGGCAAAAAAAAACTGAATTTTTGCTTCTATTTTACTTTTTAAAAAAACCCACAAAAAATAATTTTTTAAAATGCCAAAAATTAAATCAAAATACATGAAAAGAAAATTTTAAAATATTCCGACCTACGGGTGATGGAAAAAACTCGCAAGAGACTTGTTTCTTCATGTAAAAGCACCCCAATAATAGCTAAAAGGTAAATTTGGTGGGGGTGGAGTTTTTAAGGGCTCAAAAAATCAAAGGTTTCTTTGTTTTTTTGACAAAGATTTACTTTCTTGCAGTAGGGTTGGTTAAAGGAAGGGATTCGAAGTGTTTTATAAATTTAAAGCACCAACAAAAATAACTAAAAAATTGAAAACCCTAATTTATTCTCATTCCACTTAAAAAATAACTATCACAAGACCCCTAAATTTTTCCAACCCTGTAAACTAAAATTTTATCAAAATTTTTTCTAAAAACCCAAAATACACAGCAAACCCCTTTTGTAGCTATCCTTTTACTGTGATTGTACCGTAGTTTTCCTTGAATCATCTTTTTTCCCATAATCTAACAGGCAGTGTAAAACCCCATGCAAGGGGGGGGTCGAACTCCCTGTCAATAGCAGCTTTCATTTTCAAACTGAAAAATTCTCCTGAAAAGACATTTTTTTAAAACATTTTAGCATGTCATCTTTTTTATGAACAATGAAAAACCTTTTAAATAATTTTGATTTTTCATCCCTCAATGTAAAAATAAACTAGAATCCCACTATAGGGCGGAACCCCGAACCCACTTTGTCAAATCAACATGGCTTTGACTCAAGGAAAACCCCCTCCCAAATTTAGGTTTAAGAGTGCATTGCTAAGTATTGTTTTTCTACATGTTTCAAAGTGAAAATGTCAAACATTGCCAGGACATTTTTTAAAATTGAAAAAATTTTTTTTTTGTCGGGCCGTGACTTGACCTTTGCCCCATGATTAAAAAATCAAAGGGTCCTTATAGTCATACAACATCCATAAAATATAAAGATGGGGGTTAAAAAGGAAATTTAATTTAAAAGGGTGGACAAATTTTTTAAACAAAGCCTTTTGCCCTTGACCTTGTCCAGGCCCTAAAACAAAGGGGGTCACTACTAATCATGATCAACATCCATGCAAATATGAAGACTGTGGGTCAAAGGAATCTAAAGTTATTGGGCACACAAACTTTTTGAAGTCAAAGTCCCTGTGACCTTGACCTTTGACCTGGTGACCTTAAAATCAATAGGGGTCATCTACTAATCATGACTAACCTCCATGCCAAATATGAAAACTATGGATCAAAGGAATCTTAAGTTATTGGGCGGACAAGCTTTTTGAAGTCAAGGCCCTGTGACCTTGACCTTTGACCTGGTGACCTCAAAATCAATAGGGGTCATCTACTAATCATGACTAACCTCCATGCCAAATATGACAACTGTAGGTCAAAGGAATCTTAAGTTATTGGGCGGACAAGCTTTTTGAAGTCAAGGCCCCTGTGACCTTGACCTTTGACCTGGTGACCTCAAAATCAATAGGGGTCATCTACTAATCATGACTAACCTCCATGCCAAATATGAAGACTGTAGGTCAAAGGAATCTTAAGTAATTGGGCGGACAAGCTTTTTGAAGTCAAGGCCCCTGTGACCTTGACCTTTGACCTAGTGACCTCAAAATCAATAGGGGTCATCTACTAATCATGACTAACCTCCATGCAAATATGAAGACTGTAGGTCAAAGGAATCTTAAGTTATTGGGCGGACAAGCTTTTTGAAGTCAAGGCCCCTGTGACCTTGACCTTTGACCTGGTAACCTCAAAATCAATAGGGATCATCTAATAATCATGACTAACCTCCATGCCAAATATGAAGACTGTAGGTCAAAGGAATCTTAAGTTATTGGGCGGACAAGCTTTTTGAAGTCAAGGCCCCTGTGACCTTGACCTTTGACCTAGTGACCTCAAAATCGATAGGGGTCATCTACTAATCATGACTAACCTTTATGCCAAATATGAAGACTAAGGGTCAAAGGAATCTTAAGTTATTGGGCGGACAAGAAAAAACCGACGGACAGCCGGACGGCCGGACAGCCGGACAGCCGGACGGCCGGACAAGCTGATTCCAGTATACCCCCCTTACAACTTTGTTGTGCGGGGGTATAAATATGATCTACAAATGTATCAAAGTGTTTGCAGTTACAGACTTTAAGTAAGATCTTAAGAAAATCTCGGAGAAAACTTAGCATTAAACATGGAGCTCTAAGTGACATTAATTGGAAGGTAGAAAATCATCAAATCCTTCATTATCAAAAACAACTGATGTCACTTTCACAGGGTGCACATTATCATCTCCCCAGTCAAGATTGTACAACTTGGTCCACAAACAGAATTTACACACCCTTTACATAAGAAAAACTTGAGATTCTCAATCAAACTTACCTTAGGACGTGTGAGAGACAGTAAACGCCATGTAGAATAAATGATATCTGAATAATGATGCAGGAGACGAAGTCGTCCCTTTATATCGTGTATAGAGTATCTAGATAGGTTAGAGTACTGGGGTGGAATGTTCTCAGGGATACCAAGTAACAGAGGTGCCGGGATTCCCGGTAGCCTTTGTGGTGGTGGGGGACAAGTCCAAGCTGCTGAATGACTCTTACCAGCTGATATCTGAAATCAATGTATATAAATAAACTTTATTAAAAATCAACAACAATATATTTAAAATATTTTTGTTTTTTGAATGAGATTTTTGGCTGAGAACAATACAAATTATTAAATAAAAACATTCAATATGCCTCATTGTTTATGAAGATTTTCTTTCACATAAAAGATATTTTAATGTTTCCAAGAATTATAACAAAAACCGAACTAACCTGTCTTATATCCTTGCCAACAAGACCTGGAACTAACTGGGGTTCTCTAACAGGAAAATTTGTGTGTCCGAGCCCAAGCTGACCATCTGAATTATTTCCCCAGGCCCAAATATCACCTGAGCTTGTAAGAGCCAGTGTGTGGTCCACACCTACCGCTATATCCTCAATGAAATAACTCGCAAGTGTGGGTACATTCTGAGGCTTCATGTGATTTCTAGACCTGCTGTCTGGCTGTCCAACAAGACGATCTATAAAGCAATTATTTATATATTGTAATATGTACTGGATCCAGAGATACATTTTTGATAAACAGATAACTCATTACTTGGTTATTTTGTTACATATTTTACCCTTTTCTCTGACCATTCATGCACATGGTTGCCTAGAAATATAAGTAAAAGACAAACACTGATGACTGATTTGAATTCATTTATATTTTTCACCAGCTTAATGTTTTGACTTTAACTTTCTGTTAACAAATACTCCTTCAAAGCCTTTATTTTACCAAAGATACACAAAAGTATCTAGCTTGGTCCACTGACTTGGGACAATAGTTTAACTATCAACAACAACAACAAATATGAAAAACCTTACCTTGACCCCAAGTGTAAACTCTCCCATCTCTTGACAGTGCCACAGAAAACTGAGCTCCACACAGAACTTTTTTCATAGTTATCCCCTGTAGTGCCTCTATCTTTGTAGGGACCAGTACTCGTGTTGTGTTGCCAAGACCAAGCTTTCCGTAATCACCATCTCCAAATGACCAGACATTACTGCCATCAGCTGACAGGCATAATGTATGATTCAAACCACATGATACCTGTTGAAGCAAATTTATGACAAATTCAGTAACATCCATAATTTTCAGTTACTGGTGGTGGCATGGTCCAGTGTTTAATGCCTTCAACTAGCAATCTAACAAGTGTAGGCTGCTTGACTTCAAACTCCCTCAGAGGCAAGCCGTTGTTTCCTTGAGCAATAAACTCAGTGCTTAGTACTGCTTGGTTTCTGGAACAGATACTTGAGTGTTTGATATGCTTAGAGCTTCCAACACAATCCAGCTAAAACAAGCAATTATCATAGTATTGCAAGCAATCCATAAGTCCCCTACCGGTTAGAACCCCAGCAACATTCTGAAGGGCCATTGGCCATTCACTAATGTTTCAATTTTTCTCTATTTTAAGTAAATTTGTTGGAAAAGTTCTTTAAAAGTGATCACAGGAAACAGTTTTTATGAACAGACAGACAGATGGACTGACGGACACTCTAAAGTTAATTTTTGAAACTTCCCTGTTACCAAAATATAACATTTTTAAAAGCAAAATTCTTAAAGAGGAGATAACTCTTGAAATAAAGATGCAATTTGATAAAAATTTTCAGCTCTTTTTGACTAATTACAAATATTGTTATATTTGCCATGTTTTAAGCCTAATTGTTGCCATGGCAACCAATTTTTTCAAAATAGGAAGAAAAGATAAAGACATGCATAATCTCCAGACTGCCATCTACCCATATGTAAAGTTTCATAAAAATATTTCCAGTACTTTTTAAGTTATCACTTGATTCAGTTTATTGTAAAATTTGCCATATTTTCAGTCTATTTGTTGCCACAGCAACCAGAATTTTCAACATAGGAAGAAAAGAAAATGATGTGCATAATCTCCAGACTGCCATCTACCCATATTTAAAGTTTCATAAAAATATTTCCAGTACTTTTTGCGTTATCAATGGATCCAGTTTATGTGTAAAATCTGCCATATTTTCAGTCTTTTTGTTGCCATAGCAACCAGAATTTTCAACATAGGAAGAAAAAGAAAAGACGTGCGTAATCTCCAGACTGCCATCTACCCATATTTCAAGTTTCATAAAAATATTTCCAGTACTTTTTGCGTTATCACTAGATCCAGTTTATGTGTAAAATTTGCCATATTTTCAGTCTATTTATTGCCATAGCAACCAGAATTTTCAACATAGGAAGAAAAGAAAAAGACGTGCATAATCTCCATACTGCCATCTATCCATATATCAAGTTTCATAAAAATATCTTCAGTTCTTTTTGTGTTATCGCGGGATCCAGTTTTGTGAACGGACAGACGGACATACTCACAAAATGGTACTTATGTGACTTTTCCTTTGATCTTTTTGGCCAAATTTGAGTCACACAAGGCTTAAAAAAGACAAACAAGTAAAAACAGAATGAATAGGATCAAAGAGAATTTACTGTTACCCATTGTTCTCCAAGTCACACAAGGACCTCTGGGTTCGTACGGACTAACAGACAGATGGAGGGTAAACCTAAAGTCCCCTACCGGTTTAATAAATTTGCATAAACTTAACTTATAAATGGAGAGGTCAAAAGAACCTATAATTTCAATTAAGGTTTTGACAGATCATATCTTTCAGTAGCTAACAGTTTAATATAACAGAGTAGAATACTAGACTAAAATAGTTGTAAGAAAATAAAGAATTCTATTGCATCTCAGCTTTGGCAAATGAAAATGATAAAGAAAAAAACATTTAATTCTTCTTAAAGTTAAATTGGAGAATGTCTGGAAGTCTATAGAAATTCTCCAAGGAGAATAACAATTTTGCAGTTAAAAAGTAGCAAAGTATGACTAATGAGTATTCTGAATTAAGTTAATCTAAATTTGATATTTATTTGAAAAATATAAAAAGTTTAATAAATATCATTCTAATGAAGAAACAGTGTAACATACATATCCAACTTGGTATCCCTCTAAAGAAGAGACTCTAGTTGGGAGTTTCACGTTAGCTGTAGATCCTAGACCAAGTCTACCATAATCACCATTACCAAACATGTATAATTTACCATCCGCTGTTACTGCCGAACTATGCTTGAAACCACACGATACCTGACAATTATAGTACAAATATCATTTATCTATCTATTCAATATGTATTACTAGCTATAAAGATTTTTGGTAACATGGCTGTCTGGAAATAATTGTAAGCATTATCATATGCTCCAAGAGTTCTTACACAACCTACGATTTATAAAAGGCAATATTAATTGTCAAAAGTCTTAATACTGATCAATTGCTAACTTTGATTAGAATCAAAACTAACCTACAAATTTGCGGCAGCCATATATGTAATTGGCCAATGAAATTTCATGTTCAAAACGTGGGATGTTTTTGCAGAGTGTTTTAAATTAATTAAACAGCACAAGACATATAAAACTGTAGCAAAATGGGCCAGATGTCTGCCCCTCAACAATGGGATTACTCAGAAATACAACCTTGTTTTCTCAACTGACACCCATGCTGTCTAGTCAAGGATATATAAACTCAAAAATGATTATTCAATTTAGTTGAAAGAATTTATATTCATAGTTGTGATAAATGTGTAATTTCACAAAAAAAAAAACAACAACAAACCGTACTTGTATAATTTCCTCCCCTTGTAGGGAATCAATCTGACGGGGCCGTCTCTGTCTATCACTGTTCCCATGACCTAGTTTACCATAGTCTCCGTCCCCCCAGCTAAATACCTCACCACTCTCTGTGAGAGCTAGACTGTGACCATCAGAACCAACCGATGTAGCCAGCTGGGTCACAACAAAACCTAAACATAGGTAAAGAATACAAAAATGTATACATACACACTTAAGATGATGTTTAATAAATTATAAATAACAAGCAATTATCATAGTATTGCAAGCAATCCATAAGTCCCCTACCGGTAAGAGCCCAAGCAACATTCTGAAGGGCCATTGGCCATTCACTTAGGTTCCTATTTTAAGTAAATTTGTTGAAAAAGTTCTTTAAAAGTGATCACAGGAAACAGTTTTTATGTACAGACAGACGGACTGAAGGACACTCTAAAGTTATTTTTTAAACATCCCTGTTATCAAAATATAACATTTTTAAAATCCTATCATGATTGAAGAAGTTGGAGTAAAAATTACCAATTTCTCAAAAAAAAGTCTAAGTTCAAAAGGGGCATAATTCTGGAAATAGTCTTGCTAGAGTATTTAACACTCACAAATGTTGAGTGACAATAAGAAACATTTATATGAAGTTTGAAGTAGATACATTCAGAAAAAGAAGTTATTAAAAAAAAACAATGTTTTTTTCATGAAAGTTTTAAGTTCAAGGGAGGTAATTCTGATAAATTTTGTGCTAGAGTTGTAAACATTGTCACATATGATGTGGTTGATGACAAGCAACTTATATTTAAAGTTTGAAGAAAATACCTTAAGAAATAAAGAACTTATAGTGAAAAAACTTAAAAACTAGAATCAGAAATCTTGAAATTCAGTCTATTTGTTGCCATAGCAACCAGAATTTTCAACATAGGAAGATAAAAAAGGATGTGCATAATTTCCATACTGCCATCTACCCATATGTCAAGTTTCATAAACATATTTTCAGTACTTTTTGTGTTATCACTGGATCCAGGTTACGTGTAAAATTTGCCATATTTTCAGTCTATTTGTTGCCATAGCAACCAGAATTTTCAACATAGGAAGAAAAGAAAAAGACGTGCATAATCTCCATACTGCCATCTATCCATATATCAAGTTTCACAAAAATATTTTCAGTACTTTTTGCGTTATCGCGGGATCCAGGTTATGTGTAAAATTTGCCATATTTTCAGTCTATTTGTTGCCATAGCAACCAGAATTTTCAACATAGGAAGAAAAGAAAAAGACGTGCATAATCTCCATACTGCCATCTATCAATATATCAAGTTTCATTAAAATATTTTCAGTACTTTTTGCGTTATCGCGGGATCCAGTTTTGTGGACGGACGGACTGACGGACGGACGGACGGACAGACAGACGGACGGAGGGTAAACCTAAAGTCCCCTCCGGTAAACCGGTAGGGGACTAAAAACATGAACCTTTTTGTTCTCAGACATTAAAATAAAGGCAGAGTTCTCAAAAAAACAAATCAAATATCATGTTTACTTATGTGTTTAAATTATATATTTTTTAATAATTGATATTTCTATCAATCTAGCAGGCTATTTAACATCTCCTTATGTCTGTCCATTCCTAGGTATGTCACTGGATGTAAAGTAACTGTTTATCAACAGTTAAAAAATTCTCAAATTCACCAGACTGCTATATAATACATCCCATTTAAAGCCAGTGGCCTTTTTGGGACAGTGGCCTTTTTTCCAAAAAGGCTGTGTGTGATAATAAGAAATATGTAAAGGTTATAGGACATGAAAAAGTAGCTTTATTGAATGATAAATTAAAGTAGTATTCTAAATTGACCCTAATAAAATAATTTCTTCTAAAACACTGAATAATCATTTCATATTCAAACCTTGTAGAGAAGACAATATAGTGAGATTTTTAAGATCATCAGAATTTCCCTGTCCAAGACGACCGTAACTTCCTTCTCCACATGCAAGCACTGTACCATTTGCTTGTATAACAAATGTACAGTTCTGTCCACAGATAATCTGAAAAAAAAACATATTTTGGTATAGACAACATTTTTATCTACTCCAGAATATTTAAATACTTAAAGTTATAGGCAAAAACAAGACCATAATAGCTTATACAATAAATTAAAAGACTTGTGTTTTTTCTAAACTTGCTGTATTTGCTAGGAATTCTTTCTCTTACTTCATATGAAAACCACAAGATGGCACAAATGGAACTACTAGTTAAGAATGATATCTGTCCATTGACAGGCACCCAATGGACAGATTTTTTGCTATATGTCAAAAACTTTTTTGTGCATATTCCACTTTATTTCAAATAATTTATAACTTTTTTATTGAAATATATGTTATTTCAATCCACTATATTCATGTAGTAGTGTATGATTTAACCAACTTCATTTATAATGGCAAAACAATATCATCTTAAGCATGCAGTTGAATCATAAAATATGCCAAAATGTCATTTTGTTTGAGCATGCTAAACATCAACCCTGCATCCTAGGTCGATAAAATTTCCAGCATGTGTTAAACTAATTCAAACATCTGTCTGATATGCAAGAACTTCAGTTTAAAAGATTGTGTAAAATAAACATATGTAGAAAAAAATAATACCTGTTGTGCTATGGAATAAGCTGATACATTGACTGGTGTAAGAACCACTCTACCTCCCTCACACAGTTGTCCGTGTCTCTCATATCCCCACATGTACGCCTCACATTTACCCCCTATCTGCCAGTCCTCGGGACTCTGTGTTGCCCAACTCATTATCTCGCCATCTGCCGTCAAGTTCCATTCTTTATTGTCCTATAAATACAGCATGGGTTCATATTCAATGACTGTAGTATTTATATACATATGCTTCTGTTGATACAATTAATGTTGTCACAACCAATACAAGAACAATTCTCAATCTATGACAATATGACTTTTTTTTCATTGTTACCAAAATAAATCAGTAACTATTATTACTATACAATAAAAATTCATGGAAACTAAATACAAGGTACATTTAATTTTTGCCTAGCAATATAACATGTAAAATTCATTAACCTGAAAATTCTTTAAACTTAATAAAAAAAATGTCTATAAAACAATAACAAAATATGTCCCTGGACAGCATACTCCACTTTTCTCAGTGCTAGATAATAAAGTAAAACCAGAATAAAATCAAATAACTCTTTGATATAATGACCAGTTTTCAGTTTTGTCAATTTCCTTAACACAAAATTAGGTATGGTGAGTAGAACTCATCATAGTGCATCTACATATAAAGGTTGACGTTCTCAAGTCCATGGCCAATTTAGGTCTTACTGACCTTGACATTTGACCTGAAAATTGGTTTGATGTGTAGAACTCAAGTTGCCTAAGTTTCAATGTAACAGCATTGAAATTAATGACCAGACAAAAACTGAAAAGGTTTAACCAATAAGTTGCCATGAGTTGGGTCATGAAAACAGCTCAGCTTTTACTTCAAAAAGTAGAGCCAAAGATACCATAATGACTTACAAAAACATTAGTGGAGAAACTTTCCTGTGATAATCCACTGCTTAACTGCTTGAAAGTCTCAGGGAAATCTTGACCATCCATTAGACATGCTGACGTCTTCAACGCGGAGGAATATGTCAGCAACCATTGCCACTCTGGTATCAACAACTGACCTGGTTCTGGGAAAAGTAACAGTAACAGAATTTTTATAACCTTAAAGATAACATACATCTTAAGATGATGCTCAACATTCTGAGCAATCTTATATTCCATTAAAGAAGTAAGCCTCCAAATAAACAAATTTGTGCCAATACAATATATCTATGGAGACTCTAAAGTTGTATTATAAATCAATATGTTTTAAAAGTTTTAAATTAGGTAATTTAACATAGCCTATGGCGCTCACTGTCCACAATAATTATTTACAATTTGTCAAAATATGCACAAATTTCTCTATTTCTGTTAAAAGTGAGGTCATAAAAACTATTATTTTCTGGGGTTTTTTTTCTTCCTTTTTTCATTAAATACACAAAAATTAAAAATTTACAAAAACTATGTTTACTATGTTGATATAACTCTTTACAAAGACTATGTTTACAATAGACTATGCTAGTAAAAATTTTGTTTACAAAGACAATGTTAACTTACCTAATGAATCATGTTTATGATGTGGTGGTAACGGAGTATAACACAAGATGTTGTCTAACCTCAATGCCACACAAAATGAACATAAACTTTGTAGATAATCACTGTGTATCAACTGCTCTCCACTCATTACAGTAGGCTACAACAACAAGAAAATCATTATAATTATCATAAAATATCTTTGAATATTGTAAAATCAGAAAGGGATTTTAGCGAGGGATTACATTCTGAAAATTTTGAAAATTGAAGATTTTCATGAAATAAATTTTGCTTAGTATCATAATATTTATAGAACTGAAAAAAAAAGAAATTTGTGAATATCTAATCTCGCCAGTTATTTCAAAATGTTGATTTTACGAAATATTTGGCCACACAAAAATATCTGAATTTACAGTATATTAGTTTTGAAGGACTAATACCTTTCAAAAATGTCAGATTTAAATGATTAATAAAACTCTTTAATCAAAAACATTTCTTTTTTTAGTTTCAAGGTACATTCCAAGCATTTCTAGAGCCAGCCTGAATTCTGTATAATAAAATCAAAAAAGAATGCTAATGGTTTCATTCTGTTAGATGGACTACCATCTTTGTTCTCTTGAATGGTTTGACAAAAATGGAAGATTGATGGAAATGGTTACATATCTAAAAAGATCAAAGAAATCTTCAAAGTAACCAAGTCTTGATCTAAAGAATGACCGAGTACTGTTGTACTGTAATTGGTACTCCTTGCTATCCCTAAAAAACCCATCAGCACATATTTTCATTAATTACATCTGATCCCAACACCATTTGATATCATGCAATAATATAACCAAAATAATGTTCAGATCACAAGAAAGAGAACTACCTACCTTTTCACACATATACTGCTCCAGAACCAAACTTGGCAGGTTTTGCAGGAATGTTTTGAAGCAAGGAGCCTGTAGTAAGTTTAATCCCCAGCCACGTAGACTGGTTCTTGCTGTAGTCAATGCCTGATGCTTCAGATGTAACTCCTCGGGGTAGCTGAGTAAAATTACATCCTGAAATTTACATAATATTATATAAAATAACATTGACAGATATAACACATACCTGACAGTTAGATATAAAATGTACTTAACAGTTAAATATTAGTTAAATATTCCTATATCTATTTACCAATCTTTGATCTCCATTTCATGAATTTATGAACAACACTTAGTTGGCCAAGAATACTATAAATTTTCAATGTCATTAAAATACATAAAGTCTATAAACAGTGCATACTAGACTACTTGACATGCCAAGCAGTCAAAATGAATTCAGATTCAGAAATTTTTCTGGGTTTCCAATTTGTTTTACATCATAAACTTTGTTTATTTGTCCATCGGGATAGCCAAAAATAAAATCAAGTTACCTAGAAATGCATTCATTATTGGTTTCCCTGACATTCCACTGTTTTGCCCATCTACTAACAGGCAAACAAGGGCAAAAGCATAATCCACCTACTAAGTCGTGATAAAAATATTTTCAGTTTCACTCGATCACTGATTTTTCTCATTTTGTAAATAAACCTAGGAAATGCTCTTGTTTTGATTTGCTCATCTTATTGTTATTACCTTAGACCTGTTAAAGCAAGCAGCAAGGCCATGGTCGGCATACCAGCTTAGACTACGTACAGAACCTGTTCCTATATATACCTGCATCAAACTGCCATCCTATAGTAAAATATAAATAAAATGGTCATATAATATATTTGATATAAACAATAGATTGTTAATGATCAAGATTTTTGATGCTAGTCAAATGGTATAGTAAATACTTCTTTATATACTGCAATATAACCTGTCAACATTCTTTGTAACAAATTTGTAACACTGCACATTTACTTTCATTGATCAAAATGAAAAATAACCCATAAATTTGCAGCAGTTGTGTATACAGATAAACAATATCATGGAAATCAATGTTAGAAATATGCAGTATTTATACTCCAATTGTATATCAAAGTTTAAAAGTTCATATTTTAATAGTCAAATAGTCAACAACATCAAATTATCAATATGTTTATTAACAAATTTATAATACAGCAAACTTACATTTTTAGAGAAAATAAGTGAGATTTCTTTGTAAATTGACAGTAGCCATTTATATAAAACTATTTAAACATCACAATTATCTATTGAAATGCGAGAAACATGCAGTATTATAAATTATAGTTTCCATGTTTCATATTGTGAATTTAAACAAAATAGACTGACAGCAGGAATATAATAATTTAAACTTGTTTGTTTGTTTACCATATTTTACCATCCTTTATTACATCCGGGTCAAGGGAAATCCCTTAGGGCTAAATGTCAGTGAACAAGGGTGGGCAATGACCATTAAGGGGAAAAATCTCTGTTTAGATTTCCATCCGATCTAATATACAATAACTGTTTTCGATGGAACGTAACAAATTTCTTATACAGTTATTCCTGAGTAATAAATTGCAAATCCATCATTTACAATAATCTATGGGCATTTAACTAGAAATTTGCATTTTAAATCTTCAATTTTTTTACAATTACAATTGACTCAGCATTTAGAGGGTTTGGCTTGCCATGTTTTTTATCATGATTCTAATTAGAGAGGCATTTATGTACCTCAGGCAACTGCCATATGTGTTTCTCACAGAGTGAGAACAAACCAGTTTAAGCCGACATATTGTTAAAATATTGTACCATTCAATCATTTGATTTATTTTTTGTCATCAATCATTTTATGTGAAAATATGACACTACATGTAAGCACGACTTTAAAATTTAATTGCAAACAGATTTGTGACTAAGAAAAGAAGCTGGGCTTAAACTCCTACCTGAGTAGTGCAAGGCGGTGCTTCGACTTACCTGACTAGTGAAAGAGGCTGAGCTTGTAGGGGTTAACTGGTTCTCATTGGTTGTGATTTGTGGTACACTTTCAACATACACCATCCCATTGTCACAACCACTGCAAGTATTATCAAAAACTGGGTTATCTATTTACAGGGGCATTATTATGTACAAATCAATAACAGAGTAATGTATGCTTGCTTGTACAATTGGATAGAGACAGGAACAATAAGAAGTATAGTATTCTTCCAAATTCAAAACAATATCTTAAAGGGTTAACTTCAGTGTTGATGTCAGCTGGTATAAATTTTTTTATCAAATGTGTAATGCCTACACGGACAGCGAAATCAAGGTAAGTTTCCTTATCAATTAAATACAAAAGTAAAAAGTATCTTTAAATTTTATAGATTTTTCAAAACAGAACTCAATTTAAAAACAAGAGGGCCTTGATGGCCCTGAGGTCGCTCACCTGTATAGAGGCCCACGGAGCGGGCCAGTTTAAACCCAGGGCTTTTATTTGAACAAACTTGGAAGACACCCATTAGAAGATGTGTCATGATGTTTAGTTTTTACTACACACATATAATGAAAAACAATGACCTGACCCCCCCCCCCCCCCCGCAGGGCCAATTTTTAACCCAGGCTTTTATTTGAACAAACTTGGTAGACACCCGTAAGAAGATGTTTCATGCTAAATATCTAAGCTCTAGCTCAGTGGTTTTTTTATAAAGAAGATTTTTTTATGTTTTTACTATACAAAATAGTTAAAAAACAATGACACCCCAGGGGCGGGCCAGTTTTGACCCCAGGGCTTTTATTTGAACAAATTTTGTAGACACTTACTAGAAGATGTTCATGCTTAATATCTAAAACTCTAGCTATTTGGTTTTTTTCATAGAAGATTTTTGAAGTTTTTGCTATACACATATAAGGAAAATCAATGACTCCCGGGGCGGGGCCAATTTTGACCCCAGGCATTTATTTTGAACAAACTTGGTAGACACCCATTAGAACATGTTTCATGCTAAATATCTTAGCTCTAGCTCTTTGAGTTCTTTAAAAGAAGATTTTTTAAGTTTTTACTATATTGCATATAGGGGAAAATCAATGCACCCCCCGGGGCTGGGCCAATTTTAATCCCAGGGCTTTTATTTTGACCAAACTTGGTAGACACTCATTAGAAGATGTTTCATGCTAAAATATCTTAGCTCTAGCTCTTTGGGTTCTTTAAAAGAAGATTTTTAAGTTTTTTACTATATGCATATAGGGAAAATCAATGACCCCCCAGGGCGGGGCCAATTTTGACCCCAGGGCTTTTATTTGAACAAACTTGGTAGACACTCACTAGAAGATGCTCCATGCCAAATATCTAAGCTCTAGCTCTTTGGTTTTTAAAAGAAGATATTTAAAAAATTTCTTTTGGTTGCCATGGCAACCAGAGTTCTGCATGGAATTAAATTCTTTGAACAATTTTTAAAGGTGACCACCAAAGGGAACATTCCTGTGAAGTTTGGATAAAATTGGCTTAGTGGTTTATGAGGAGATGTCATTTAAAGTAAAAGTTACGGACGGACAGTCACGGACGGACGAGGTACAGATCGGGACGACGCCGGACGAAAAAGCGATCACAAAAGCTCACCCTGTCACTTTGTGACAGGTGAGCTAATAAAGGTGTATGAGTACAAAAGCGATGATTTGTATGTTTTGTTCCAATATATTATCTAGAACTAAACAATCATTTTTCATCAATCATAAATGCCAGACTTAGTGAGCAGGCGTATCAAAATCTGTGAACATACCTTGCTAACATAAGTGATTTAGCTTCACCCTTGCCAAGTAAAGTACACCATTCTACTACAGTGACAGCTGCAGTGTGGTATAGTGTATGCAACAGAATAAGACCTTCACGACCAGGTGTCCACACTTTGACATGTGAGTCTCCTCTAGCACAGGTCAACAACATATGACCTGTAGGATCCCATTTCATTCCAGTGATAGCTGACTGTAGAAGAAAGTAAAAAAATTTAAACATTACAAAAACTGGTCATACAAATCACTTTAAGATTCAATTATCATTTAGTGTCCAATAGTAATACACTAGCTTAAAGTAATCCAGCAATCACAGTTTCAGTAGTTGCCCACCACCAACAATACCAATGATATTTTAGACGTAAATCCCTTAAACAGATAATGGTCAGTTCCAAATATAGCAGCCAGATGAGTCCATTTAGGAAATTCAGCAGCTTAATGGCTATTTTAGCTTGATAGTGAAACAAGTTCTTGCAACATATATTAATCACTTCGAGTCTGCTTCCTGGAACTTACCAGTACTGGGTCCGAACTCTTTGATTGGTCAGAAACTGCCAAAGAATTTCCACTGATCAATGGAAATCCTGAGATTTGTGACAGAACATGGAAACAAGAGGGCCATGATGGCCCTGAAGTCGCTCACCTGGTATAAAGGACCCCCCCAGAGCAGGGGCCAGTTTGAACCCCGGGGCTTTTATTTGAAAAAAACTTGGTAGAACACCCATTAGAACATGTTCATGCTAAACATCTAAGCTCTAGCTCGTTGGGTTTTTTTATTAAAGAAGATTTTTTAAGTTTTTACTATATGCAAAATCAAAAAGGAAAATCAATGACCCCCTGGGCGGCCAATTTTACCCCAGGGCTTTTATTTGAACAAACTTGGTAGGACACTCACTAGAAAGATGTTTCCCTTGCCAAATATCTAAATCTAGCTCTTAGGGTTTTTAAAAAAAGATATTTAAAGTTTTTTCTTTTGGTTGCCATGGCAAACCAGAGTTCTGCATGGAATTAAAATTCTTTGAACAATTTTCAAAGGTGACCACCAAAGGAACATTCCTGTGAAGTTTTGGATAAAATTGGCTTATGGTTTATGAGGAGAGTCATTTAAAGTAAAAGTTTACGGACGCCGGACAAAAAGCGATCACAAAAGCTCACCCTGTCACAAAAGTGACAGGTGAGCTAAAAAAGTTTTATAACCTAAAGCCCTGGGTGTTGAGGATCATGGTCATGCCCAAATACTGTAGGGCTCGAACCAATGAACTCTGGGGTTAACAAGCCAGACACCATAACCATTAAGCCACAGTTCCTGGAACCCAACTGTACTGTTTGAGGATCATGACGGTCATGACCAACAGGGCTCGAACCAATGAACCCTGGGTTAAGAGAACAGACACCTTTACCACTAAGCCACCGTTCATTATACATATAAAGTCAATAACTCACCTCATGAGCCTGTGTTCTGATTGGGATTCAAATTCCTCAGTACTACACTTGATCTATAAACACCATCCATGAACCCCACACCATAAACCTCCTGGTCTCCTCATACCAGGCAATCTTTGTTACTGAAACTAAAATAGGACTCAAAATTTGTAAAGACATGAATTACATAACTAATCTGAAAATCTTTAAATGTCTTTTATCTTGTGTGTTTCACTTTTGTTGTGAAAAATTTAAGTTCTTGGTAACATTGTCATGGAATTGTAGTGTGCCTATAAAAAAACAACAAGATTTTTTAACAATTCAAGGTGATGAAATGAGGTTGAATCAAGGCATATCATAATGTAACCATTTATTAAATGATGTAACTCAATTTCTAAATACATAGTTAAATTTGCGAACTTTCACTCAAGAGTAACAACATACAGACTATCTAAATTTGACTAGTCAAGGGTAATAATTCGGTTTTAACAGTCAAATATTGAAACTTAAACCATTGTGTATAATCACAATGTACAGAATTCTCTAATTCTAAGCCAAGGGCAATAACTCTGATGTTAATTATTCCTTATTAAATCTAAAAATATCATTAAAATATCTCATCCCAATAAATATTTGTGTATGTACAAGTTTTGACACATAATGTCATAACCTAATCAGCATATACAGAAAATTGAAAAGTGGAAAGACATTAATTAAAGTACAAGCAATTGAGGTTTTGCTGAAGTTCAAACTATTTAGGTATAAGAGAGTCAAAGAAAAATAGCCTAATGAGCTGCCAATTTAATATTTACCATCAGGTCTATAGCACTGCTGTAACTCCTGTCTCCTGAATGTAGTGCTGTCCAGTATATCTATAAAAGCTAGAGACCCATCTAGCCGGCCAACTAACAAACGGTCAGTGTTCAACCATAGGCAACCCCCAAACACTGGCTTGCACTGGGACCAAGCCAGTGCTGAAACCCAATGTGGCTGTATATCTAAATGTCCAAGTCCACCTGTAAGAACAATACACAGAAATTTAGATACAAGTCATTAAATTTTTTGCTAAAACTAAAAAATATCACAGAGTAATGAATATACAAATTTAAGATTGATGGTTACTTTAAGGACATTGTTCATGAAATTGTTCTTTTTTTGTGTTACTTATTAACCTCAAAATACTGATAACCACCATTTGCAAAATTGCTCAATGCTATCACTTGGCCAAGCTAAAAATTACTTTAGAGTTACTATAAGGAAGAGAAGAAACTTTTTTTTTCACATTCTCACAATTAAACAATTTCAATTTGTATGTATGCACAGCAGTCAACAGTAACCTAAGATGTTATGAAGAGATAGATTAACCCTGAAAAAGTCTGGTGAGCCAACTATATTAAAGAGCTCCACAATTCAGTACCAATACTCATCATCTATTTAACATAATAGGGCAACTCCCCTCATTAATTTTCAAGGAAAAGACATCAGCAATAAATTAAATTCAGCTCAATACAATTTAAATTATTCTTCAAGTTCAAAATGTTTTGGTGCCCTGTGTGCTCCCTGTGATGAGAATGCTCCAAGGTGAAGAGAGGAGTACATGCATTAAACATTGCCAATGGTTCAACCTTTTTATAAAGGGAAAGCCTTACATACCCCCTATAGCCCAGATGTTGACCATATTATCCATAGATCCTGCCAGTAGTTTTCCCGAGCTGTTCCAGCACAGGTTATCTAGTAACTGACCATCTAGGTGTTCACCTGTCACACCCTCTCCACTGTTGAATATACATGTTTGCTGCATAATCTGGTGTGTTTTACTGGGAATATTCCAAACTCGAATAACACCATCATAGCCACTGTAATAAAAGACAAAACATCAATTATTTTAAATGTTTTCATTTTATTTTAACATCTCTTCCTTAAAATGACTCCACTGAGGTTTTTCTGGCATGACAGGACTGGAAATATTTATGTCGAGATTTATGTATCATTGGATGTAGGTCTAGACCAATAACTTGTGTGCAAATTTCTGATAAATACATAATTCTGTTCTTTCCAAAATTAAAAGCTTACAATGAGCACCATATGCCCAGATGAATAAATGAATCTCATATAAATATTGTAATCATGTGTGTGGAGTAAAGCAATATTTTATTAAATTAGAGGTAATACTTGGTAACTATTCACTGTTGTGCGATAATGGCCAATGGATTTAAGGGCCATTATTACATAAAGGCAAGCAGCAACCAAATTTATCGTCTTTAATACTTAAGCCCATAATAGGGCATTAAGATATGGTTGCTTATCTTGTTTGTAACCCTTTCCAAGAAACAGACAGCTGTCAATGTAAACAAATATCTCTCCTTCAGTTTAACAAAGTATAAGGGGTAAGCAGAATGGACCCTCTAGTGATAAAGCTGTTTCTCATTTAATAAAGAAATAAATTACAAAAACCCTAGATAAATAACAAGATATGATTATAAGCATACTATAAAGTTACCTTGTTGCAAGCAGAGATTTCTTCTCATTCCAACTACAGTCAGCCAGCCTGTTCTGATGTGCCTCCAACTTGCGGACAATACATGGTGGCAAATCTGGGCCAAGGTCAACCTGTGACTGGCTTGTGGTAGGACCCGGCTTATGCCAGGCAATACATCTGACAAGCTGGATACCGGCCCACTGACGGTAAGTATGATCTACCTTTGCGGACAATATACATGCAGAAAGTGCATCGATCATTTGTATTATACCTAGTGGACGTTCTTCCGGTGTCTGATCTGTACTTTCTCCTTAAACAAAAATCTTTAATGTTATGTTAATTTGAGTAAATGTACAAAAGTTTCAAATAAAATTCATCATAACATAATTTCTTAACTAAATCTTACTTTAGTAAGACAATTCTGGATGGGCCCTAGAAAATGTTGATGAAACTTTTGATTTCACTTATAACAATATAATTATGTTAAGCTGTTATGATGTTTCTATTTACATTTTAATAATAAATTAATAATACATGAACAAAATCAAAAATAAATAAATAAATTATTTAGCAACTTCGTCAGTATTTCTAAATATGGCTTTTTGTTTCACACTGTTATTTACATTTTGTTCATTTGGTCTTGAAATAAAATAATTGTGAAAAACCATCCTAGAGTAATGTGAAATGTTCACAAATGAGTATAATAATTCAATCATTTGAATCTGAGGAATATTTTACAAAAATAGAGGATATCAAATGAGTGTAAATTTAGCATTGAATCTACACAAATACAATATTCTTTTTATCATATTTCCAAAATAAGAACAGTTTACAGTTAAAACGAAACCTTTTTTCATTGAAGTGCCTATAATGTAATGCTTAAATTAGCTTGCTTTTATGCATGTCACATCAAAGTGTTATTACACTAGTGTAATATCGTTTTTACCAAGTTGCTTTATTACACTCCTGCACCGTCAAAAGTTTTGAAAATATAAATGTACATAATGTACCTCTTTACATTAGAAATGTACTTTGACTTTACAAAAAGCAAATAAAAAAAGTCATTCACAAATCTAGTAATGCAATTTTTTTGCACACTTTTTTTAACAAAAATATCTTTACATTCCAAAGATCACAATAAATGAAAGCCATTACTCACTGTGCTGTCCGGACAGGGAAGCTTGAGTATTCTTATCAGTTGTCTGAGCTGAAGCCACCATTGAAGTGTTTTTAAGTCCACACAGCGCAAGAAGGGCCACCAATGACTGTGTTACAGACAGTATTGACTTGTCTGTCTTTGGAATAACTGTATGAACTGATGTTTTCTTCTGTCTGACTGCTGTCTCGTTTGTTGGCCCTACACCTAGAGCTGCAGTTAGTAACTCCTGAATAAAACAAAGACTATATAGATCTAAAATGATAACACTTTTTCAGACAAAAAAAACAAAAAAAACTTGAGAAATAAACAACAGAAAATGCTGTCTGATTTGGTAGAAATATCTTTCAAAAGAGTTTATTTTGTACTTTAAAGGAAAGAGGTATTTCATCATATGTTTTCTAAGCATGGTATTCAAATATTGCCAATTAACCTTAAGATCTCATGTTAATTGCTTCTCTGATGATGTAGTTCTTAAAATTTCCATTTGTTTTTTATTCTATGAGTTATAAATATGAAGATAGATACATTAATGTTCTTTGCATTACCAGTAAGTATTGCATGGTTATCATGTCCTTTTTGCATGTGTAGCCTTATTTCACAGTAAGATGACAATGCAATACAAAGTTTATATCTATTTTCTAACCGAAGTACATAATAGGAAATTCAATAAGGCAAATTATAGAAAACCTTTGGACCATTGAAAACTGTCCTGTTGAGCTATTCTTAGTCTCGTTTGAGTAAAACAAAACGCTTTACATTGTTGGGACATTTTTCGCAACTGAAATAATTATACATTTTAAAAATGGGGAGAGAATAATTATGTTTTCAGTATAGAGTCCTATATTAAGTGTTATAAATATGTCCAAAAAAAAAGAAAGAAAAAGAATTCCAGTCTTGTCATGTAAAAAAAAAACCTCAGTGGAGTCCAATTAAAGTGTTAAACTACTCTTTATTTGTCATGCACACACTGATACATAATTATTGTTTGTTTAGAAGGAAACACCAAATTTTAAGTACATGTAAATAACTAATCAGTGACCCTAACTGGAATAGAATGAGGGCTCTGCTAGAACATGATCCATTGACATGTTTTTTCCCCACTTTACAACTCATGTAATAGAAGCATACTGTGTAATCAGTAACCTCATCTACTAAGATCAGTAAGTGGAAAATGACAAAAGACGTGTGAAAACCAGAAAAAGACTTTGCAACCAAAGGTGGAATCCTGATGACACCGAGATATTTCCAATTACAAGACGTGTGAAATTACCGGGATTTTGAGACTTGGAGGGCATTTTTCAGCCATTATTGAATTTCTAGGCTTGGTAAAGTGTAACAACTTTTTATAGAAGTGTAAACATGAGAAGAGTTTAACAAGAGCTCTTGTTATCTTATCTAATCAACCTTATACAATGTGATCAACCTAATTCAACAATAACAACGGAGATATCATTTCTAACAATTTCTTATAATGCCATTGTTGTTGTTTTGCACTTAAGCTTTTCCTACATATTAAATTGTATATGGAGGACCATCCTTCTATGTATGTTGAATGTAAATATAGATCAATCAGCAAAAAAAATAGCTAGAACTGCCGTTCAGGGCATTATTAAACTTGTTAAAGAATTTGCACATCTTACTTTGGCAAAAAAGTACTCACAAAAGAGGCATAAACACTTTACAAATCTAACACAGTCATGTTTTCTTGCCCTAGATACAGGTGTTATCTGGTTCAGAAGCAATATATCAAACTTTGTTGTGAAAAACCAAATGGTGTAGTGAAAAACAAAATGGTGTATTGAAAGAAAAATGATATAATGAAAGCAAAATGGTTTAGTGAAAAACAAAATGGTGTAATGAAAGCAGAAAGGCATAAATTCATTCAACTGAAACTACTGCAAGTTATAAAAGGGGCATGACTTTGACAATATCTTTAACTGAGTTAGGTACCTGTTTTCTTGCCTATATTTAAAAGTGATAGTGATACGAAACGTTTCTAATTTTCATGACAATACCTGATTGCATTAAGTGTAAATTTAGCAGATGACCTGGAATCAAAGTGTAACACGTGCTGTACTGACAAGCTGGTGAATATGATTCTCGTTTTCGTTTAGCTAAATCCTATACCGTTCCTTGACGAAAAAAAAATTATGACTTGTTAACAAACTTTGAGAACATAAAAAATTAATAACACTAGCATCAAGATCTGTTTCGTGTACAACATGATATTTGATTCCTGAATGGAGGTGCTAACGTGCTAGAACTAATTATAGTATAGATTGATACAAGCTGACAAATAGAGAACTTCTCAGTAACGATTTGGATCATTGATATTCAGTATACAATTGTGTCTCCAAGCGTTGCTACAGGAAAAGCATTACAAGGTGAGGCACTTGTTTTTAATAGAATTAAATAAGTTGTTATTAACTTTTAAATTAAACAGTCAAATTTAGGAAAAAAAATCTCTTAGGATGCATGTCGAGTCATAGTTTTTGACAAATATTATTTCACATTTGAATTTTTTTATAATAAATATATAAATAATAAAATATAAATAAATAGATAAATAAATGAAATCCATTCTTATAAAAATATACATGTCTTAGTAAATGAATTGAATATCTATATATATATATATATATTTACCTTTTTGTAAAATCATTTTAAATTTAGCCTATTATTGTTAGATAAAAAAAGATGAATAAAACTATCTTTCATGTTTCAACAAAATGTTTGAAAAGATTTTTAGAAGAATAATTATCTCTAGTTTTTTTTTATTGTTGTTGATTCTATTTGGTCAAAATGAGGAAACACAGTACTTCACATAGTAAATCTATGGTAGTTTGAGTGATGGAATACGAGCCATCATTATTAATAACTGAACATAAGGACTAAGAATAGTGGGCTATTGGTTATCACAGGTGTCCTAACAACCTGTTCCAAATAGTTAAAATAAAAATCAGGACTAGACAAATATGTTGCAAATGTGATATTAGTGAGTGTTGTTAAGAGCAAGTTATGCTTTATTCAATTATAGAAAGCTATCAATCCAAACTATCAACTTGAAACTTATAATACTTGATTATCATGACAAGGATGAGTTATTTTCCTGAAGGCAAAACTTAGAAGTTATGCTCCTTTTAATGTTATAATTATACTTTGAATGTTATAATATTTTATAAAAAAATTGTTATTGATATAGTGGTTGCTCTTTACCGGCAAGCTTCAACACTGCATGCGGTTTTCTTGTTTTATCTTTTAAATATTGTATAAAGACTATTTAAAGACATAAGTTTATAGATAAAGTGTAACTCTAATATGTGTTATATTGCAGCGTACATCAAGTTTTCATGAAGAAATGAATGAATGAGCAGTGCAAATAACGTGATAATAAGCAGTGCCAGCCTGAGACAAGCAAATTATAACAAGTCACAGGTAAAAAGAGTGACAGTCATAAACAATCAGATTGCAAGTCATATATTAACTGAGAACCAGAAATATCTGAACAGTATTCCAGTCATAAATAGAATAATTGCCAAGGATAAACAAGGTACCAGTTATCATAAGGCTACTAAAAGGGAGTAATAAACAAAATCATAAGGCTAATAAAAGGGAGTGATAAACAAAGAATTTAAGACATAGATAAACAAATGAAGGGTGTCAGACATAGATAAACAGATTAACATCAAGATGAACAGTGTAATAATTTGGACATGTGTTTTGGCATTTATGATCTTAGAGAATGAATGTTATATTTTACTACCTAATGACAGTTCCAACAAAATATCTAAAGGAGACAAAAGTAAAAAAATACAAAATCACAAAGACGGAAATCCACAACCAGTTTTTACTGAAAATGGCAAGGAAGCAGAAAATATCAGAGAAACTGAAGAAATGAAGGATTACACATATGATAATGGAATCACTTCAGACACAGCAACATGGGCTGTAAATATAAAGAAGTTTCAAAATGAAAATTCTGATTCAATGACGGAAATGAGAAATGATCCAATGAGAGAAATGAGAAACACAACTATGACAAAAGACACTGATTTGCAAGACGACAATAAAGAAGTAAATGCTGATATTAGGGAGATTTCTGATGTTATAACAAATATCTGTGGGGAACAGTATGAGCCATGTGAGAGAACAGGCTTTGACTTCAGGTTCTTTAAAGAATCCTCCATTTGTACGATGTGTTCCTGTAATGTCAAAACATGTCATACCTTGAAAAATTGCTGCCCGGATGTTATAGTGAACATTAAGGACACTAAAGGTACCGGTATACAAACATCTAATGAGTCCTGTATGTCACTTCATGATGTCCTAACTTTTAAAGGTGACAAACCAATGAAGGATAATGTAATTTATAGTACTACAAGTGAAATAGACAGTAATATCTCTATTTCTAATGCAGAAAAGCCAAATCAAAATGATCTGAATACTCAGAGAAAAAGTGAACCAGAAAAAAGGTCAGACAATGTTAAAACTACTTCTACACTGGCAAATACATATTTCCCCAAATATCTTGTTATCAACTCATGCCCAAATGATTTTAATGATTCGGATACAGTAGCTAAATGTATCAATACCGGATCACCCTTTCTACTCGATAATTTGCCGGTGACCGACTGGATTTCAATGAACATTTATCGTAACAAATGGTGTGCAAAATGTCACAACACTTTAGATACAGAGAACTGGTTACTTCTCACAGACTGTCTCCAACTTTACAACACATATTACCTCCCTTCACAAATTTCCAAATTTCATGACTTAACAAAGAATTGCACTGTTCGAGTCATACCATCCATTGTATCCAAAACTGATTACAAAACCTGCAAAACTTCAAATCACCAACATGTCATTGATAAATGTAATAGGACAGGTCTGTGGAATCCAACAACTGACAATACAACAGCTACAGTTAAACAAATGTTGTGTGAGCAGAGACATTTCATGCCACTGTATAAACCGCTGACAAATGGACAAAGGGGAGTATACAAGAATATCTTCTGCTATATTTGCAATCAAAATGAAGACTTACAGACAATAAAAAACAAAACTCTACAAGATGAAGGTATCTATATTTTCATTATTTTGTCTAGTTTTGTTGAATCACCATTATTTAATAACAGTCTTAACATATCTTTCAACTTTAATTAAATAAGAAAGATAACATGTTTTCTGTACATTATTTCAGGCATGTTAAGGAATTTTCTTAGTTCAAAAAGGGCCATAACTCTTTCAAAATTCATATGGGCCTTTGTCAGTGATCTCTTATTAAGCTTTAAAATAAGTGTGAAGTTTCAACCCAATTTCTACTGTTTTGGAGATACCAACTTACATGCAAAAACTTAACCAAAATGTGACACAGAGTCTGGGGTGAGTACAGTAGCATTCCCTATTGTTCCAAATTGCTAAAAATTCACCAATTAACATTCCTTTGTACAACATGGAAGAATACTGTCATTATGTTTTGCACTTACAGATGTTCTGTATGGGAAGACAAGATTATACAAGGCCATACAATGTGCTGACCCATCTGAAGATGCTGAAGTCTGGTCCGAGGTCGGGCACAAACACAACCAAACTTGTCCCTATGGAACGATTCCTGGTATCTACACTGTAAGTTTTAACCTTTATTCTGCTGAATTTTGTGGTAATTTGGCCTTTGTATGAATCTAGAATAGTCCATTTGAAATTTAACAGATTAAAATGATATCAAAACACAACAAGAGGGCCATGATGGCCCTGAGGTCGCTCACCTGTATATAGGCCCACCCAACCCCCACCCCCCAACGTTGCAGGGCCAATTTAACCCAAGGGCTTTTATTTGCACAAACTTGGTAGACACCCATAAACATCTAAGCTCTAGCTCATTGGGCTTTTTAAAAGAAGATTTTTTTAAAGTTTTTACTATACACATATAGTTAAAAACAATGACACCCCTGGGGCCGGGCCAGTTTTGACCCCAGGGCTTTTATTTGAACAAACTTTGTAGACACTTACTAGAAGATGTTTCATGCTTAATATCTAAACTCTAGCTATTTGGGTTTTTTCAAAGAAGATTTTAAGTTTTTGCTATACACATATAAAGAAAATCAATGACCCCCGGGGCGGGGCCAATTTTGACCCCAGGTCTTTTATTTGAACAAACTTTGTAGACACTCACTAAAAGATGTTTCATGCTTAATATCTTAACTCTAGCTATTTGGGTTTTTTTCAAAGAAGATTTTTTAAGTTTTTGCTATACACATATAAGGAAAATCAATGACCCCCGGGGCGGTGCCAATTTTGACCCCAGGGCTTTTATTTGAACAAACTTGGTAGACACCTATTAGAACATGTTTGATGCTAAATATCTTAGCCATAGCTCTTTGAGTTCTTTAAAAGAAGATTTTTTAAGTTTTTACTATATGCATAAAGGGAAAATCAATGACCCCCCGGGGCGGTGCCAATTTTGACCCCAGGGCTTTTATTTGAACAAACTTGGTAGACACTTATTAGAACATGTTTCATGCTAAATATCTTAGCTCTAACTCTTTTGGTTCTTTAAAAGAAGATTTTTTAAGTTTTTACTATATGCATATAGGGAAAATCAATGACCCCCTGGGGCGGGGCCAATTTTGACCCCAGGGCTTTTATTTGAACAAACTTGGTAGACACCTATTAGAACATGTTTGATGCTCAATATCTTAGCCATAGCTCTTTGAGTTCTTTAAAAGAAGATTTTTTAAGTTTTTACTATATGCATATAGGGAAAATCAATGACCCCCCCGGGCGGGGCCAATTTTGACCCCAGGGCTTTTTTTTTAACAAACTTGGTAGACACCCATTAGAACATGTTTCATGCTAAATATCTTAGCTCTAGCTCTTTGGGTTCTTTAAAAGAAGATTTTTTAAGTTTTTACTATATGCATATAGGGAAAACCAATGACCCCCCGGGGCGGGGCCAATTTTGACCCCAGGGCTTTTATTTGAACAAACTTGGTAGACACTCACTAGAAGATGTTTCATGCCAAATATCTAAGCTCTAGCTCTTATGGTTTTTTAAAAGAAGATATTTAAAGTTTTTTCTTTCGGTTGCCATGGCAACCAGAGTTCTGCATGGAATTAAATTCTTTGAACAATTTTTAAAGGTGACCACCAAAGGAACATTCCTGTGAAGTTTGGATGAAATTGGCTTGGTGGTTTATGAGGAGATGTCATTTAAAGTAAAAGTTTACGGACGGACGATGGACGGACGGACGAAAAGCGATCACAAAAGATTGAGTGAGCTTACAGTAGAGCTCTCATCAATAACAATGACATTGATGTATTGATATTGATGTATAGTTGATATTTTTCTGTCAATCAATTATAGATACTGGTTTGAAAAAGTAAATAATTTTGACTTATTAATTAAATGCTTAGAAATGATGTTACATAACTGGAAGCAGGTGCTCTATTGAAAAAACATGTCTTCAACTATGCTTTTGTAACTTACTTGAATATATTTTTTTAGTTAGTCTACATATTCCAAAATATGGTCAGAAAAAAACATGCAAAGGGCATATATAAACAAAACACATCATAATTTTTCAAACAGCGCATTTTACTGGTTTCAGGAAAACAGGAATGTGAAATATAGATAAATAATACATAATAATAAATTTATTGAGTATCCTTGATATTTGTCAATATATGCTTTGGTATCAATGACAGCTCTGAGTTTTATGAGATGATTTAAGCTTACCTCAGGTGTTAAAACTTAAAGCCAAAAACACCTCACCTGCTAGAGCTAAGAGATACATAGACTCCAGAAATTCGAGCCCATTTTAAGTCACCTTTTATGTTTATTCAGGCATGAATTTCACATTATATTTTATTTGAATCATAAACCACTGGTGAAGATTTTATAACAGTTCTTAAAAATGAGTGTATATAGATACAATGACACAAAGCAAATGTTTGTAGACTTCAGACATATCACTATGCAATGGGAGCAGAATATTGTCCCCATGTCTTACAACTGTGCTTTGCCATGATAATCAAGTATTTAAAGTTTTACGTCAGTAACTATAATAGTTTTCAAAAAATCATACTAAATAAGTTAAAAAGGCCCATAACTCCAAAATTATAATAGACTTTCATTTATTTTTGAGCTCGATTTTTCAAATTTGTGAATGAGGTTCAAGTGTCATAAAATTATTTTTCTGTTTCTTATAAATGTTGTTTTTTTTAAATATTTTTTACAGGATGACTGCATACCATTTGAGTGTCCCATTCATCAAATAGCTATGTCAAACCTTTGTTTAGATAGACAAACAGATGTTATCGGTCTGGTTATAGCATCCACAATACGTCTTCAATTCCAAAGTACAGTCTACATAGGAAGATCAGAGGATGAACAGCACAATTTTGGCCAAGAAGTAGCTAACGCTATTGATAACAAACTTCTTATTTCAAAAAAAGGTTGCAATATCAGAGCCATTAAACTGCTTGCTAACTTTACATCTCCATCTGAAGGTTACGCACAAGAAATCTTTCTTGCATTTAAAATTGCAAATACAAAAATTTGCTCTGTGAAAGAAGTGGTGGAAATTTATTCTGAAATTGATGATGGTGAAATAAATATATCTGTTCATTTGGCCAGCAATGATGTGCTACAGCAGCATTCTAGAAATGAAATAATGTTCAATATTACTTTGACTTTCAGAAACATTCAGAACCATGACATTGAAATTCCACTGAAACAAATGCCTCCTTCATATGAGATATGGCTTGAGAAATATTTCCAATATCCGAGAGTTCTCCTTTCCGCATCCCAGTTTAGGAAATTAGTTGAAAAGGGCAAACTAAAATCATCTAAAACTCCATCTATGAGTGCAATGAATAATGAACAAATACAAGTTTGCTATATAGATTATCTACAACAATGGTTACAGGATACCTATACCAAGTCATCTACAACTGGGAAAGATTCCAATCAAAACACTCTAACATCCACTCTGAGCATGCTTAGTACCATAATATCCATGCTTTCAATTGTATTTGTTCTCATCACCTATACCATGTTTTCCGAGCTTCGTTTCATTCCTGGTAAACTGTTCATGGTCTTGTGCTTCAACCTCCTTCTTGCACAAGGTTTCTACAGCTTCGGTTTTAATCTTGGTGTTGACAATATCTGGTGTCAGCTTGTCGGAGTCTGTATACACATGCTGTGGACTGCCACCATATTTCTCATGACTTCATGTCTTTGGCATATGCTGAAGAACATTAAGGACCCCCTCGGTGCCAAGAACCGTTATATGATACAAAGCCGGTCAAACTATCTTGTTGTTAAATATACCTCCTACTGCTACAGCATGTCCGTGGTCTGTGTTCTTACAAATATCATATTCTCCCATCTAATGTATCATGACGATCACTACGGCTACGGGGGTAAGTTTTGCTACATAAATACAGCAGAAATGAGATTGTTCACATTTGCTTTACCCATTGCCCTGGACCTGCTCGTTAATTTTGTCATGTTTCTTTGCATTACATCAAAAATTTCAAAAATGATGACGCACGAGACAGACGTGAAAGAGCGTGTAGTAGTTTTTTTAAAACTATCAACCATTACAGGATTTTACTGGACATTTGGTTACATATATGAAGCCACAAAAATATGGGTATTTGAATACCTTTTTATCATCCTGAATGGTGGTCAGGGATTTTTTCTTATGTGGTCTTTCTTGTTAAACAAGCGTATCTTTAAAATGTACAAAAACGTTTTCAAGAAGCTGCAAGAAAAGTATTCGAGTATCTCTGAAAGTTGAATCTGACCCGGAAAGTTGAATCTGCTATAATAGTGAAGAGCAATTACATATAAAAATTGTGTATTTAGGAAGTATGAGTATTACCTGTAAATTTCTGCTTTCTTAAAGCAATTTGAAACCTTAAATAAAATCATACTGCCTTCATTATAAGTCAACATCACTAATTTCACGTCCTCACTTATTTCACATTTCCATACGACCATTGTTACAATTGGTCAAAATTGACCTATTTTAGTCATTGAGCTAAAAAGGAAGCTTTTGTACAAAATCTGTAGATTTTTTTTAAGTAAAACAGAACAACACTTCAAGTCAATTGAAATGGCCAATTGAAATGGTCTGGACCATAAAATCTGTTATTGACTGATAGTTGTTCTTAACTTGTGTCATACAGCAGAAAATACTAAAATATTACAGCTGATAACAATTTTTTCGCGTTAAGTACCATGAAGTAAGAGGAGCGGAGCATAATGTAAAAATTCAAACTTGAAAATAAAATGAAGGAAATAGAATACCTTCTCTGGTAAATAAATATGAATCATTTTATATATTGTTAAGAAAATTGGATTAAAATATATTTGAAAAAAAAAAAGAAAAATAAAAAACTTTTGTCATATAAAAAATGCATAACATTTTCAATTTAGCTTTTTTATGTGTTTTTTGTGGGTTTTTTGTGTAAATAATTTCTTTTCATCACCTGTCTTCATTTTGACAATATTGTTGTGCTGCTTTATAAATAAAAATGTACATTCAGATTTTGTTTTATATTTTTACCCAATTTACAAGAGTCATAGACTAAAAGCCAGCCTGCATATCCAGGCTGTCTGATCAGGCTCAATACTTTTGGCTAAGTAAACTTTCATCTTAATATCCCCAAAAAGTGAAATGGACCATCTAAAAAAAAGCATTTTTGGAAATTTAAAAATTTTAATGGGGTTTTGGGTAAAAAGATGTTACTTTTTAGAAACTAAAATTTTATATTTTAAATTTGCCATGTCCAAAACCAAAAAAAAAAGGTGACTTTGGGGACTTGATGGCAAAAAGTTTTGTGAAAGTGGGGGGGTTTAAAAAAATAGGAAAATGAATTTAAATTCCCCAAAACAACAAAAGCGGGAAAACTTGTGTCCTGACATAACTGAAATAATTATTCTGAGAAAATTGAGTCAGCAAATGAACTAAAAATTTTATCCAGATCTACATCAAATGGTATATAAATCTCCCCAAAACTATTTCCAGTTTCATCATTAAATCTCAGTGGATTCCCTTTATTCATATTCAACAAGACAATTCTTTTTAAGCCAATAATTAGATTTTTAACCAAGTTTTCCAAATGAAAAATTAGATTGGCAAATTATTCCATGTGGTTTGACATATATAATTTATGTCTGTACACAAGTTTTGCGCTTCAGTTTCTTCTTATCATAAATATCTTATGGCAAACTGTGACCAAATCAGCCAGCTTCTGTAAAAGTAGTTGCTATGATAATGAAAGAGATGTCATCACAATTAAGTTAAAAATAATTTAAATGTATAAGGTCAATTAGCACGAAGAACACGCAACAGCTGCTTTGGTGTAGTGGTTAGCATACTAGACAGGCAATCCAGAGACCTGTGGTTTGAGTCTCGGGTTTGATTTTTCTGTATAAATATAGTAAATATAAGCACTATAAAGCAATGGAAACCCTGATTGACAAAAGGGTATAGTAGAACCTCTGCAGAGCAACATTGTTTTTGAGGCAAAGATTTTGGTTGTTGTTGAGAGGTGTGGTTCTAGAAGATCTAAGAGGTTATTGCTTTACAGAGGGGCCACTCTGCAGAGGTTACACTGTGTTAGATCTACCAGTTCTATAAGATTTTACTCATGTTTTGTAAAACATAACAAGAGGGCCATGATGGCCCTGAAGTCGCTCACCTGTATATAGGCCCCCGGAGCGGGGCCAGTTTAAACCCCAGGGCTTTTATTTGAACAAACTTGGTAGACACCCATTAGAAAATGTTTCATGCTAAACATCTAAGGTCTAGCTGGTCAAGTTTTTTCTTAACACATATAGTTAAAAACAATGACACACCTGGGGCAGGGCCAGTTTTGACCCAAGGGCTTTTATTTGAACAATCTTTGTAGACACTTACTAGAAAATGTTTCATGCTTAATATCTAAACTCTAGCTATTCGGGATTTTTTAAAGAAAATTTTTAAGTTTTTGCTATACACATATAAGGAAAATCAATGTCCCCCGGGGCGGGGCCAATTTTGACCCCAAGACTTTTATTTGAACAAACTTTGTAGACACTCACTAGAAGATGCTTCGTGCTTAATATCTAAACTCTAGCTATTTGAGTTTTTTCAAAGAAGATTTTTTAAGTTTTTGTTATACACATAAAAGGAAAATGAATGATCCCCGGGGCGGGGCCAATTTTGACCCCAGGGCTTTTATTTGAACAAACTTGGTAGACATCCATTAGAACATGTTTCATGCTAAATATCTTAGCTCTAGCTCTTTGGGTTCTTTAAAAGAAGGTTTTTTAAGTTTTTACCATATGCATATAGGGAAAATCAATGACCCCCTGGGGCGGGGCCAATTTTGACCCAAGGGCTTTTATTTGAACAAACTTGGTAGACACCCATTAGGGGATGTTTCATGCTAAATATCTTAGCTCTAGGTCTTTGGGTTCTTTAAAAGAAGATTTTTTAAGTTTTTACTATATGCATATAGGGAAAATCAATGACCCCCCTGGGGCAGGGCCAATTTTGACCCCAGGGCTTTTATTTGAACAAACTTGGTAGACACTCACTAGAAGATGTTTCATGCCAAATATCTAAGCTCTAGCTCTTTGGGTTTTTTAGAAGAAGATATTTAAAGTTTTTTCTTTTGGTTGCCATGGCAACCAGAGTTCTGCATTGAATTAAATTTTTTGAACAATTTTCAAAGGTGACCACCAAAGGAACATTCCTGTGAAGTTTGGATGAAATTGGCTTAGTGGTTTATGAGGAGATGTCATTTAAAGTAAAAGTTTACGGACGGACGGACGGCGGACGAAAAGTGATCACAAAAGCTCACCCTGTCACTTTGTGACAGGTGAGCTAAAAAACTCCAGGATTTTAAGTCAATCTTTCTTGTAAAAAAACTACTCTTCCAACATGGTCCACAAGCATTTGATATAGGTTAAAAGCTGTGAAAAAATAAGTAACAAAACAAATGACTGCCTAGGCAACTGAAGTGAAACTGGATATCTAGTCGTCAAATTTGCTCCATAAGTGTTATATTGTTTTCTATATATGCAAACGTGATATATTGGTCTATAAATGAGATATTATTTCTATCACACATATGTGTTATTCTTTAGGAAATGAACAATCTTCATTGCTTTTTATCACAAAGAAGATCACAACAATAAAACAAAATCTAATCTTTTCAACACATTATCTATTTTTCTTGATGATATTTGAATATTCAGTAAATTACATATTCAAATAACATTGAAGGTGCAATCATTGATTATCAAATCATGTTTTCCTCATCTGTAAGGCGCTAGTAGTGTGCGTAATGAAAGTTATTTCTATCAAAATAATATGTTTTGACCTAATTAAGAATCATATTCGTTCATTTGTGTTCAAAGCTCATTTTATTTAATTAATTTTTGACAACTTAATATACACAATTTTTAATACAATACCTTTGTACACAACTGAAGAAGTTGATTTTGTGATTTGGTATTCTCTGTTACTAGTGACCCTATAGCTGTTGTAAGATGATTAAGACTGGTCTGTCCAGTTCCGATGGCGTAGTCACATGACGGAGTTATCTTTCCAGAGGCACATAAACACATCAGCTTTACTATCATCATAATGTCCGACAATCCCATCTTATCCAGGGCTGCAGGGAGGCTGCATGATGTTCCACTGATAGGTAAAAACATGTTTTTTTATAATTAAATGCCTCCAAAAATTCTTTTCTTTCTTCTTCTTTTTTTGTTTTGTCTGGTTTTACATCACACTTAACACAGTAAAGGTCAAATGACGACTTTCTAGCTTTACTGGTGGAGGAAGACCTCAGGTGGCCTTCTTTACATTATTTCAGGCACAAACCAGGTGACAGCCAAGTGATTTGCAACTGCTGACCTTAACCACTCAGAAACAAATGCTAGCCACCCGCAATTGAGCAGATAATTCTTACGCCAATGATGTATTTAAAAATCTTTTATGTTTAAAAGAATACACATCGTTTATTTTAGTAATCTTTCTTGCATTGGTCATCAACTGACCAATTTTAAATATTGCATCTGTCATCAATTAGCCAATGTTATCATTGTATGGTACTCACCTCCCTGACAGGACAGCCAGTGCCTGCAGTATAACAGATCTAGCTATAGATATCTGTGATGCCATTGTTGTACGATGTAAAGCCATCTGTCTGTCCAAACTAGTTTGAAAGTTCATGATCTGCTCTGGTAAACTTTTCTGGGTTTTTTCATCAGTTTTTGCGGATGATCTGAAAACTTGTCCTACTTTTTGGAAAAAATTTCTTATATTTGTTTGGGTTGTTGTAAGATTATTTATATCAGCAGTTGTTTGCGAAACGTGTATTATAAGAATTTGAACAAGTATTGACCTTGAGCAAGTATTGACCTTGAACAAGTATTAACCTTGAACGAGTATTGACCTTGAACAAGTATAGACCTTCTTAGTAAGAGATTGAAACATCCAAAAAAAACCAGCAATGAAGGGCTAAAGGCTTTGAGACTTTGTAACAAAAAAAAAACACAACAACAACAACATTTGCCCTGCCTAATTCTCAAACTCATAGGTCCAAAGGACCTTATTCTTTAACTACTGTGTTAAATACATGTAGATAACTTATAATTAAAGCAGCAAGCCTTCAGGTTTTTGTTAATTATTAAAATGTTAAAGTTATCATGGGCTTGACAACAAAATATAGTAAGTGTAGTCAAATGCACAAAGTAAGTTATTTTATCAAGAGACAGTATAACTTGAAAATATACAGAAATTCCTCTTACTCTGCTAATAACAGGGTGGAAATCTAAAATAACAAGCTTTTTCTTTCTCAAAAAAAAAATTAGACTTTTAAACACTGACCTTCATTATTGGAGAATTTGTCTTGTTGAGCTGGACAAATATATGAAGCTCCCAGTGGGTCAGCTTGCTGAAACTTGACAGGATCTGGTATAGGCTTCTTGTCTGACAAGCCGAGGTACTGGTATAGTTTCTCTGGATTATCTAGGCACGGTAACCATCCCTCAATCTCTCTCATGTATGTGCTGCCCTCTGTAAAAATCATCATTATCATCATAACTCAACTCAACCTTATTACAAATGAAGTTCTATTTCTGAAGCAATCTTAATAGATAATATTTTTTCTCTAGAAAATGCTTTCGATTAAATAAACTTTTTTCAATAATTAAGTATTTTTTTGTTGTTTTTGTTTGAGAAATTTGTGAGAAAGGGATGGGCATGGAGTTGAATGTTTGCTTTTGTCATTTCCACACTATTTAAGGTCATATATGAGGCAAAGAAATACCCAGGGTATCACTTTTTACAAGCTTTCTCATATGTCCAGGCATTTCAGAAGACTTACTGACTATTTACCTTATCAGGTCATAACTTTAGCATTTTGCCAACTTTCCATGCCTTTCATCAAATACAATTAGGAGCACAACTTTCAGTGTTTTATTATTTCAGAAACTTATATGAAAGTGCAGGAAATTCTATACAATCACGTTTATATAAAGTCCAGTACCAGTCTGCCATTAGTATGAAGCGAAGTATTGAATATTGTCTAGGCTAAATGCCATAGCTTTGATTTTTTTTCTGCTTTGATTTTTTTCACTTCACATCAGCATACATGTGACATCCCGGCGGGATTTAAAAAAATCCCGATATTTCAACACTGATCCCGATTCCCGATATTACAGCTTGAATTCCCGATATTTATAAAAAAATCAACATAAAAAAAATCAAACACAGCACCTGTATCTAAAATGTAAACTGTGCCTCCGGGCATTGATTGTTATCTGTCCATATCCTAAATTATAGCGGATTAAATGTTGAGTCGCTAATTGACAGCAAGGTGACGTAATAAACAGTTCCAATACCCAAAGTTATTCTCACATGTTTAACTTATCACCGTGTCGTGTGTCAGTCAATTGACCTCTTTCGTAATTTGGCAGTAGGTATTACACGCTACGTCATCAAAAACTACCCTGTAAATTTACATGTATGAATTCGGCTCAACCTTTGATTAGTGCCGCACTGACAAAGATAAAAGGGGAAGCAGAATCATTTAAAGTGGATCATTCAAAACCTGTTTGAGATGTCTAATTAACCTATTTTTAGTGAGTGGGTAATTTTTTGTTTTGTTTTAGGAATTACGCAATCATCGAGGCAAAAATGTGGATTTAATAACAGAACGATTCTTGCATTTATTTTGAGTCTTTTACTTATGTTACGTTACATGTATTTAACTGTCATAGTCTTATGTTTATGAATAGTTGTTGCATGTTTTCAAATAGCTTGTGTTTAATTATTGAATGAATGAAAAGACATTATAATTCTTCAAACTGAAAATAATGAAATGTGAAAGTGTGACTGTTTTAGAAATAGCCAGTATGACTACACTTATTTATTTATCTATTTATTTATTTTTTTTGATGAAATAAATTAATATTGATCAACAAAAAAAAACATAAAAAGTATTATCATTTAATGATTTTGAGGGTAATATAGATTCTTTGAACCAAATGTGCCAAACACGCACTGAAATTCGAGTCGATAAAAAAATCCAGTTTTGAGCCTCAAAATCCAGCTGAAAATCCAGATTTGGCCCATTTCATTTGTCACATGTATGCATCAGGTATAATAAAGTCATAATCCAAGCTTTAGCTATTGGTTTTAGACAGTGACCTTTAGTTATGATTACAATGACATGTGTAAAGTTTCCAAGATACATCTTCAGTGAATAACATATGATTAGTTGCATGCAAAAACTTAAACAAAGTGTTAAAAGGACTCCAATGAGGTTTTATGACATGACGGGACTGGAAATAATTTTTAGAGATTAATGTTTCATTTGATGTAGGTGTACACCAAAATTTTAGATCATTCACTCACTCCAGAATAATTCTTATAATTGCGAAAAATGACCCAAAATTGAAAAGTGTTGCAACACTTTTCACACAAATCGGGCTAAGAAATGAACACAAATATGATTTTCAATTTATTTTCGAGTATATTTCCCAATTATCTTTATATTATATTTTTCTGTTTTAAGTGCCGCAGCTGATCTATGTAAGAAATTTTATATTTTAAGCCTTTGGTCCTGAGCGGCGTGCCTTTAAGCTAATACTGATACAAAGGAAAGTGGGATAGTTGAGCTAAACAAATGATCAAGTTGGCCAAAATTATACTAAGTATAAACAAGAGCCATGTCAACATGGCCATCCCTCGCTGAATGTGTTTGCTCATTGGAAGAATGTATATGTAGTAGAGCAGAATAATTCAATTTTAAGAGATCTTTTGGTAATGAAAACTGATGGCTGAAGTGATAACAGATTTGAAACATATGTGAATACTGATGGCTGAAAATAACAAAGGGCAATAACTGAAAAATAATGCAGGGTAGAGTTATCATTTTTGTGTGCTGCACTATCCACCTATGAAGTTTCAAGTTGATATCTCAAAGGCTTTTATAGTTATGCTCTGGACAAAAATTAAGCATGAAAAATAACAAAGGGCAATAACTGAAAAATTATGCAGGGTAGAGTTATCATGCTTGTGTGCTGCACTCTTCCTTAATGAGACTTATCCACCTATGAAGTTTCATGTTGATATCTCAAAGGCTTTTTTAGTAATGCTCTGCACAAAAATTAAGCATGAAAAATAAAGGGCAATAACTGAAAAATTATGCAGGGTAGATTTATCATTCTTGTGTGCTGCACTCCTCCTCAATGAGATCTATCCACCTATGAAGTTTCAAGTTGATACCTCTGAAGTTTCAAGTTGATACCTCTAACACTTTTTGAGATAAGCTTCGGACAAAAAGTATGAAAAATAACAAAGGGCAATATCTGGAAGAGTTATCGTTCTTGTGCACATCATTCCTTCTCAATAAGATCTATGCACCAAGCTTCATGTTGACATCTCAAAGACTCTTTGAGTTATGCTCCACTCAGGTGAAAAATTAAGGATGAAAAATAACAAAGGGCAATAACTCAAAAATTATGAAGGGTAGAGTTGTCTTTTCTTTTGCACAGCATACCTCCTGAGTGAGATCTATCCACCTATGAAGTTTCATGTTGATATCTCATAAGCTTTTTGAGTTATGCTCTGGACAAAAATTAAGTTTGAAAAATAACAAAGGGCAATAACTGAAAAATTATGCAGGGTAGAGTTATCATTCTTGAGCACTGCACTCCTCCTCAATATGATCTATCCACCTATGAAGTTTCAAGTTGATACCTCAAATACTTTTTGAGATATGCTCCGGACAAAAATGTTGGACGGAAGGACGGACGGCCAGAAGGAAGGAAGGACGAACGGACGGAAGGAGACTATTTCTATATCCCCCGCCGCCTTTCGGCGAGGGATAATAAATGGAACATCATTTGAACAAACTGAGTAGCAGATGATTTCTAGAGTAGTCTACGTATAATATAGGGGAAATGGATTACCTGTTAAAGGTAGTGATTCATCATTATCCTGAAACTCTGTTGGCTTGGTAGACATCTCATTCTGACAGTTGTCTAATCCTCTAACTGGTGTGCTTGGTTGATTCATATACTGTTGTCTACAACTTGGACACATGAGGTAGAATGGGTGACCTGTGCCACACTGACCTCCAAACCAACCTCCACAGTAACTTCCTGTGCTCCTGTAACCATGGTTATCACAGCTTCCTGTTTCATACAACAACAAAAAAGTATTTAAATAGTAGTCTGCAGAAGGATGATATTTTGTGAAAAATGAGTGGGAAAAAATCCTTGCAAATTTCCAGATGTTACTGTTAGGTTTTTAGATCACCTTACATGACTATTTTGGCTGTCTTTATTGACATTATACAATATATTATAATCAGTTTGGCCAGATATTGTGTTATTAAAATCGAGAAAATTCAGTGCCTTTTTAATATGAACATGTTGGCTAAAAAATCACAGGTGTATATCCTTCAATGGATTCAGGCGTTATGAAAACGACATTGATCTTAGGGATATACTCTTTGACTGTGGTCTCATTAAAGAAGTATGTCAGAAATGTGGGATCCAAATATTGTCTTCTCAATAAAATGATAAACATTTGAAATGAATTCCCTCTCACATTGCATGATTCAAGAGGTCAATAAAGGGCGGACACTTTATTTGTCTGAAAAAAGGTATTATCCACCTACCTCCACAGCCAGGATGCTTGGACCTCATGTGTCTATTGAATGCCACGGTGACTTCCCCACACAACTCACATGTTACAGAAATGTCCTCCTCTATATCTCTTCTCTATAGTAAAAACATTTCAAATAAAAACATGTTATGTTAACATACAAGAAGCGCCGCAATGCGATGAAAACCAGGTTTTCAACGACCAAGTTTTGATGTGACAGCAATCAATAGATCAAAGTGCACTGAAGTTATTGAGTAGAAGCTGAAAATTCTATTGTAAGCAAATGACCTTGAACTTGCTCCCAGATATCTAAGTGGCAATCCAAAGCTGCCACGCAGCAAGTTTGATGTCAAAAGGTCAAAGCAAACTCAAGTTATAACATGAAAACTAAATACATTAACCTTGATCACAGACACCTGGGAAGCAATTCCAAGCTGCCTCTTGATATAAGCTACCCATACATCAAGTTTGGTGTCAATAGGCCAAAGCAAACTCAAGTTATTGTGCAGAAACTGAAATTCTATTTTTAGTAACAGAGACCTTGACCTTGATAACAAACACCTGGGTAGCAATCCCAAGCTGCCTCTTGATAAAAGCTATCCATACACCAAGTTTAGTGTCAATAGGCCAAAGCAAACTCAAGTTATTGAGCGGAAACTGAATTTCTATTTTAAGTATCAGTGATCTTGACCTTGATCACAGAACACCTGGGTAGCAATCCCAAAAGCTGCCTCTAATATAAGCTATCCATACACCAAGTTTAGTGTCATAGGCCCCAAAGCAAACTCAAGTTATTGAACGGAAACTGAATTTCTATTTTTAAGTAAACAGTAATCTTGAACCTTGATCACAGACACCTGGGTAGCCAATCCAAGCTGCCTCTTAATATAAGCTATCCATACACCAAAGTTTGGTGTCAACAGGCCAAAGCAAACTCAAGTTTATGTGAGCGGAAACTAAAATTTCTATTTTTAGTAACAGTGACCTTGACCTTGATCACAGACACCTGGGTAGCAATCCCAAGCTGCCTCTTGATATAAGCTATATATACAAATACCAAGTTGGTGTCAATAGGCCAAAGCAAACTCAAGTTATTGAGGGCAGAAACTGAATTTCTATTTTTAGTAACAGTGACCTTGACTTGATCACAGAACACCCTGGTAGCAATGCCCAAACTGCCTTTTGATATAAGCTATAATACACCAAGTTTGGTGTCAATAGGCCAAAGCAAACTCAAGTAATTGAGCGGAAACTGAATTTCTATTTTAGTAACAGTGACCTTGACCTTGATCATCAGACACCTGGGTAGCAATCCCAAGCTGCCTCTTGATATAAGTTACCTACAAACCAAGTTTGGTGTCCATAGGCCAAAGCAAACTCAAGTTATTGAGAGGAAAACTGAATTTCTATTTTTAAGTAACAGTGACCTTGACCTTGATCACAGACACCTGGGTAGCAAATCCAAGCTGCCTCTTGATATAAGCTACTACACACCAAAGTTTGGGTTGTCAAAAGTAAAGTTATTAACGAAACTGAATTTCTATTTTTAGTAAAGTGGACCTTGACCTTGATCACAGACACCTGGGTAGCAATCCAAGCTGCCCTCTTGATATAAGCTACCTACACACCAAGTTTGGTGTCAATAGGCCAAAGCAAACTAAAGTTATTGAGGCGGAAACTGAATTTCTATTTTTAGTAACAGTGACCTTGACCTTGATCACAGACACCTGGGTAGCAATCCCAAGCTGCCTCTTGATATAAGCTACCTACAAACCAAGTTTAGTGTCAATAGGTCAAAGCAAACTAAAGTTATTGAGCGGAAACCAAAAGTTGACGCCCGCCCGCCGACTTCGGCATTACAATAACCCGGTTTTCGTTGAAAACCTGGTTAATAAAGTTATCCAGAAACAGTTTCAGAAACTTTGATGATTATTACACTATTCAACAAAAAGATTAAATGAGTAGCTGCTTAAGTAACAGCTTATTTTTGTGCAATATGTAAGCTTTTAAAATGATTTTTTTTAAACAGGCATATTACAGTGTAACTTCCGAATTCCGGAACTTCTGAAATCCGGAAACTTCAAAAAACCGAACATTTTTTTCGGTCCCGATTTTTTCCCTTCTATTTTCTATTAATATAATACTTCTGAATTCCGGAACTTCTAAATTCTGAATTCCGGACGATATTTTCGTAAAATTAGAGTCAAATCAATGCAATTTTACCTCCAAAAACCGGAAATATCCAAAGGTGTGAAATACATTGTAAATCGAGACTGTTTACCCTGCAGGAAGATTT